GAAAGACATGTTAAATACTTTTCATGTCTGTAAATATATAACATAGTAAAGTTTTTAAAAGCATTGAAATAATTTTGGAGCATAATGTTAGGAAAGTATTCTAGATTAAAAAAAAGGCAATGCAATCTCATTGATTCTAATTTGAACTTGAAATATTGCTTTCATTCCTCCACTTACTGAGAATGGCATCCCATTTATATCAGAGTATGTGTTCCAGCGCTAAACAGAATTTCTTATTTCTGGTGTAATTATTTGCTGCTTTAAATATTTTTTAAAAGATTAAAGTCCACATATGTGCCTAAATTTTAAGATGAACTTCACAGAAGACAAAGGTGAAAGAAATTATTTTGGTTTGGGTTTCTTTATTTTGTTTTTTCCCAAAATATAAGGCAGGCTACGCTAACTCAGGAAAAATTAACTGGAAAGATGATCTGTCTACTGGCTTCTGCAGCAAGAATGTATTTAATTCAGTGAGGAGGTTGAATTTATTTTCACATCCACAAACTGAATTCATTTAAGTTCCCACGTAATCTGTCTCTTGATATACCTCAGTACACTTACCTTTGAATTCTACACCTGCTTTTATGTGGTAATTTTTTAAATTTCAGGTGCTGACCAAATGAGGCATATATTAATATTAAAAAAAAAAAAAAAAAAAAAAAAACAAAACAACAGCTCTTCACTGGAGAATAAAACATGGGGTCTTTGCAAGTTTGAACAAAACCTCAGGGTGGATCACAGTATAAACAAAACTTTAATGCATCCTTAATCCCAGTGTGGAGAGCGATAGTCTGCTTGAGTATACAGATGAGCAATGACATACTGGAAAGGTAGATATTGAAATTAAATATTGATTCATATTGAATTATGAGAATGTAGCTTCACCATCAGGCATTCAATTCTGTAACATCTTAGAATATTCTTGTAACGAGCCTGATTTGCCATCAAGATTCAAGTCACTGTACTGATATGTAAAGTAAAACCACCAAATCCTGCTGAGTTCAGTCATCTCACTGAACTACAGGAAAAAACAACCAAACATGCTGACTCTTCTGCTGGTGTCCTTACAAAGACTTAAGTTACATGCTACCAAGGGTAACAAAGGGAATCCAGATTTACATGACACCTTTATGCTGTTTGCATTCAGCTTTATCTTGCTTAGAATTTTTTCCACAACTGGATTTTACTAGAGGCAGTTCCACTTGTTTTGTAAGTTTCCTAGATTGATTTTGGAAAGCTGACTCCCACTCATGTATTTGGAAAGGTCAAAATGTACGCAATCCGTTAAGAAGCATACTGCTGTTTTCAGCAGAAGTCCACAAAAGAAAAAAAAAAAAAAAAAAAAAAAAATTCAAGTCAGCTGGATCAAAATCCAGTGTAAGAGCCACTGGCATTTTACACTCATCTTGGTAACACTGAAATGATGATCCTGAAATCCTTACTTAGATAAAGCTTCCCCGGAGTCCCAGATAGCTGACCAATAATTGCACAGATTAACACTTGCATTCAGTGACAGACCTGATTACTTAAGGTTTATTTTACTTTAGGTTGGTCATTCTAAAACATTCTTCCAACTATAAATACAGCCTCTCTAAAAATTTAATTGAGGAAGCAATCAAAATTGCCATCTCAAAAAACCCTATGCCAGCTATAATGTTGACATTACAATAGGTAAAAACACACAGGTGAAATAAGTTTCAAAAGAAATAGGAATACTTACTAAGTTTACAATATCTGTTTATGATGAGAAGCATAGACAAAGGGAAGAAAGAGAAATAAGACTGTAATAAAAGTTTACTTCTATCATGGTCCTGAAGATACAGGTCTGGGCATTTAACAGTTAAAGAAGCAATGGCATGCTAACTGAGCACATTAAAACAAAGAGTTGGCAGCTTCTGAAGGAAAAGGGCTTGTGCTCCACTGTTCCAACTTGTCAGTCAACTCATGCCAGCACTCTCCACGTCTGCCTCTTCTACGCACCCTCATTACATGTGTCTGTCTGGACTGATCTGCTCATCTGTTCAGGGACTCTCCTGAGAAGTCAAAAATTCTGCCTTCTCTCTGCTCTGGAATTGGATCAAACCACCTCAGCTTTTTTTGTAGTCCCACCAGGAGGATTTTTGCGTATGGTCTCGTTCTGTTTTCCTTCACTACTTGTCTGTTTTTGATTTTTAGAATGGAGGAAGCCGAATTGCTGAAGGAAAGATTCCAGGCCATAACAGTAAGTGCCTATAGTTATAACTCGCTATTAAAAAAAAAAAAAGAAAAAAAAAGCTTAAAAATAGTATTGTGTTAATGAGCTATTTTTTGTGTTTTCTGAATAATGATTTATTCCAGGACAGAAAAAACAGTTTCAAGCAGATGGAATTTTCTATTTTTTTTTAATTCTAATTTCTAAGCTACTGCTTTAAGAGAGCAAAGTTACCTGTACCAACTTCATTATGGGTTGTATTGCACTTTCAAATCAAATTGAAAGCTGTGAAAGTATGTCTGCAAATCACTACTGGACAGTCTAAAATACATATTATTATCATTGCAACTGAATGTTTGCCTGAAGGACAGCAGGTCAAAAGGCAGCTAGAGAACTCCAGAACAATCCATTTTCCCCATTTCACAGCAAAACTGAGATGAAATATTTTTCATTTTGTACTGTGGAATTAAATACAAATTTATGAATTTTTGATGATCTATCATAAATATTGCTCCCTGAACAGTAAAAAAGGACAAGCTTTGATAAAGCAAATTCCTACCTGTCTGTTTTCAGAGAAAAAAAATGACTTGAAGTTTATGATAAAGACATGAGAAAACATTTTCAGTTTCTCTTCTACAGGGAATCTGATTCAAAATATTTATTGTTTTAAAGGAACTACTGAGCTATTGTTTAAAGGAATATAATCTGATACAACAAAAATGGCTGAATGCAAATTCTTCTCTGATTTGATCTCCACTGAAACCTAATCAAAAGTTACAAAAGAACTAACTGAAAGAAAAATTTGGCCCTTTGGGATGAAAGTAAAACTGCAGAAGGATCATTCATCATCACAAGCAATGTTTAAAAACAAATAAAGGGAACAAAGGTATTTTTCATACTCTTAACATCATAGATTAGTTGTGGAAAAAACACTACTTGCTGAATAAATAGGGGGTGAGTTAAAAAATACCTTACTGGAACCAGAATAATTGTGAGAAGCTGTAACTGCAAATCTGCAGGAGTTGAATAGTTTGGGAGTTAATTTGGTTGGGTTTTAATTATGATACTTGATGAAAAGCCAACGGGCCCATTTATCATAGTTACTTGAGAACCAACTCAAGCCCACAATCAGGTAATTTGAAATGTTTTAGAGGGTTTAGTGTATGTTTGCTTAACTGTAGTGGTCTTTGAACCAGACTCATAACCTGAACTTTGTCACTAGTGTGTGGGCTCAAAGGATAAGAAATGTTTTGGCACTCCAGAGAAGTCCAGGCCTTGCAATGTTTTATACTTTCTGGAACTAGCAGAAGGAATGGGGTAGCACGCTTGCCTGATGAGGGCCCCTATGAACATACTAGGGTCAGCATCCTCTGGCTGCCTCTTTGCCTCCAGATGAACACTGGAGAAGTTTCAGGGTTTGTTTTTAAGAAATTGTGACAGCTTCCAGTGTCTTGCATTACAGGAAATAAGTCATTTGGGTTCTGGCCACGACTTCATTTACTACAGTTGCTGCACAGAGAAACTACATGGTCTTTGCTTTCATCATTTGAGAACATTTAATTGATACAGTCTATTTGTTATAATGCACTGCAGAAATGAAAGAGCCTATATAAAGTGAAGTTATCTGGTTTAAGACTCTGCAGTATAAGTTGTCTAAAAAAACAACACGTTGCAATTACAGTTGTGAGTTAGTGGCTCTGGGAAGGTTTGTCCCAAGCAACATACCTGGGAATTTAAAGTGTTAGCTGTGAGATGTAGGTTGTAAAGGATCTAACAGGATAGCAAGGGGTACTCAGAGCAGTGCACAGCTACCCTTGCACTAAAACCTGATTGGTTTCTGTTGTTAAATGCCTGGCTTCTTTACAGCATCTGGCGCTCTCACAGCCACCAAGGGGGGTTCAAATTCTTCTTCGTATCTTCCCTATGTAACAAAGCAAAAAGGAAAACCCTATTATTAGTGGTATTTTAAGATTTGGACGGTCCCACAGCTCTGAAAATGAACTCATTTTCTCTTATGTAGCTTCCACCTGCTGCTGGTGTATATAGAATATAAAAACTAAAAAAATCAAATGCATCCACTTTGTTAGTGAGACTGTCATATCTTAAAATACAAAACCATTAATGTTTGCTCTGACAAATGAGACAAAACAACAAATCCTCCATTCTATAGGAAAACAAAAATGATAGAAGATTAGAACTGTGATTAAAGATTTGAATTATGACATTTTTGCAGTCTCATGCCATCAGACTAAAGTGCCTATATGTCCAGATAAGAGCCTTCAATGGCCAAGCATTACCTCTGGAAAATTATATGAAAACTAAACAACATCAGCTAAAACATTAGCTGCTCCACTGCCTTGACAGTACGTGGCATCTGCCATGGGACCAAGCAGACCAGACTTGGCACTACTGTGGAACACTGACACACTCTAATGGACTTGGCACACAAGATACCTGTCAAGACACTGCTAGGTGTGTGCTGTAGATGCATTTCCCTTTATTTCAGGCAGATCAAATTCTTTTTCATGCTCAGAAGTCAGGAAAGATTCCCATGTCCTTCACTAGGAGTGAAAATTAGGACCAAGGCTCAAATCTCACCTTGCATTGATGTACAACAGAGAGGAAGGGATGAAAGTGCTCTTTCACAAAAAGCAAACCTTGCCCACATTAACAAGGACACAGTAAGAGAGGATTAGAGGACTTTTGCCAACAACCTGATTACCTACAGCAGCAGAGTATGAAGTTTAGTAGAAATATGGATCCCTTAGCTATATAGTAATAAACATTTATTCCATTTGATGTATAATCAAAGCTTTGTACAGCAAGACATGATTTGCAGCCAAAGCAGAGCAGAATACACTGTAGGAAGTGTCCTAACAGGTTCTAAAAGTTATTCTGGCAATACAAGGTTCCTCATACATCTTCCTTGAATTTACCTTCTGGCATTAGACCTTCAGCTTTCTTGGACTAGATCTATAAAAGACAATCTATCTCAAACTATTTAATCTGGAGAATTGTATAATGGATGTTTACTACCAGTGAAATTAAAACATGCTAGATACTGCAGGATACAAGTAGAAAACTTTAAAAGAAAAAAAAATACTGGGTGTAAAAGAAATGTAGACCTCTAGTAAAAGAAACAGGCAAAGGTTTCATTACTGAATAGGTTCCTTATTACAAAGTTAATTTAAAATATGGGTTTTTGCCTTTACATTCTGAATTTTCTGCACATTATTTTTGTGTACCACTTCTTATTTCAGACTGATCAATTTCTGAGTACACATCCTCACTGGTACAAAAAGAATATTTGACTTATAATTTTTTTTTTAAGAGTATAAATGAAGTAAAACTTCATTCTCTGGCTAAGAATCTTAGCCAGAGAATTAAGTTTAAAGAACATTAAAGAAAAAGCCATTTGCAGAACATTAAAGAAAAAGCCATTTCCTTAAGAATTGTAACAATATGTAAACATAAGCTCTTGTCACACTTTGTTCACCTAATGATGTGTTTTCTAAGGGCCATTCATACATTAAGATCAGGAATATTTCCCAGTTAAAGAAAGGTGTCAAGGTCATAGGCCATATGTCTCCAAAGTCAGGACTAGCTGAGTAAAATCCAGCATAGCAGCTCTTGGTTAAAGTCTCTATAAAGGAATGTTGCAGGAAAGTTACATATTTTAAAAATCCTAAAGGAGTAGCTTTATTAACTGTACTAAAGAGCATTGGTAGAACTCAGAACCACTACAGAGATGAAGGTAGAATGTATCTTGAGGCAAGATCCCTACCCGCTCTGACTGGTGTATTAAAGAAGCAGACTAACCCCATCAGGGAAAAACTGTAAGGGACAGAGAGTGTTTATAGATGGCTATTGCACCTTACAGACTGCAAGAGGGATCCCTGACACTCATTCACCTACTACACCCCAGCACAGCACCAGCTCTGCTCATCCAGCCTGTAGCCCTGACCGCAATCTCCCCAGAGCTAGGTGGTTTCTTCTACTTCCTATCCTTCAATAGTGTCTCTATAGCCTGTGGCCCCACTGCTGATTTCTGATTTCCAGTAACCATGAAGTGATTCAGCCAAGCACACTGTGGCTTTTCCTGTTTCCAGATCCTAGGGATCAGTGCTCACTGGCTTTCTACTCTCCTTACGCACAGCTGGTTCCTCAGGTGGGCTAAAAGGTCGGAGTCTCTTCCTATGCTTGTGGAGAACTTAGGCCCTTCCTAAACCACACATCTGAAAACAGACTCATTTAAAAATAAAGAAAAAAAAGAGGGGAAAAAAACAAAAACAAAAACAAAAAAAAAAAAAAAAAAAAAACCAACAACAACAACAACAACAAAAAAGCAGCCTAGCCTTCAGTCAATAGACACTTCTGTACAGGACAACAGATGACTTCATTTACTTCCCTAAAACATACCAGGAAACAAGTGCAAAACTTTCCATGTCCAGTAACAGGATTTCATAGCATTTAGGATAACAGAAAACAGCTTATTCATACAGCTTGTAAAAGTTATTTTCTTTTGGCATGATTTCTTCACTACTGGCTGCTGAAGACAAAGTACTAAATCAGTGTTTGGCCTCATATAGAGGAGCCAAAAGGATACTCTGTGTGACAACAGCCATCCAAAGGCACAAGAAGCTCACGTGTTGCCGGCGTTCAGAGACCGTTCACCCATTTCCCTTTTTCTATAATCTGTAGCAAAAAGAGTGAAGGTGGCACTATGATAGATCAGTAATCCTAGAGGCTTTTCCTTCTGAAGTTCAGCAGCCATGAAAACAGTTTCTGCACAAAACTTTTTTTGAGAGGTAAAAACAACATACATGAAGCATATCACATTTGTGTTCATCCTCACCACTATTTGACTAATGAAATAAATTTCTCAGTCTTTGTGTATTCCTCTTTACTTCAGCTATTAACCACTAGATGCATAAACTCAGTGCTGGATTCAACGAGAGCCCATTTAATTTGATGATGTATCACAGCTGTTCAGTGTAGACCATGCAGACTTTCCTCTCCTAAATGTGTGGACTGCCTTAGGAATTTTGGTTAGGACCCATTTCTAACCTCATTTTGCATATACAATTGTGCTCAAATGATATTTCTTCCTGTTCTCCTCACTCTTCCCCAGTAAATTATTTTTAATTTGGATCATGCACACATTTAAATGTAATTCAGAAAGAGTAATGGAAACCATACCTGCATAGGACACATGAGCTGCTGCTGATAAGAATTACAAACTGCTTGAGTGCTATATAAGCTTTGAAATAAAACTTTATTTGTATGGATTGATTTCACTCTACTGAACAACACAAACAATTGCTTAGCAACAAATAATTTCTCTAAACAAAGTTTTATTGTTGTCTTAATTTGTAGGACAAAAGAAAACTGCAAGAAGAAATTACACAGAAACGTCTAAAAGTAGAAGAGGAAAAAATGAAACACCAACACTTAAAGGTAAGTAAAGTGTTGGATTTATGTAACTAAAGATAGCCTCAATTCATTCAGCATGAATAAAGGGTTTGGATTTTGGAATGCAAATCTTTATGCATTTAACCCATGCTTTTACTGTCAAATTCTCACAGCTTTTTGGAGTCTTGCCAGGAGTCCATTTGACTTTCATAAGCATTACCCTTGGAGAAAAATTACACTCAGGAGCTAATGTTATTTGATCACTTTCATGGCATAAAATGAGATCATAACCAGGAATAACTCACAGCTGAAAATTAAGCCTCATATTTCAGACGGGGTGTGTTCACTCCTTAATTCCACTACAACAACCTCACTTAGTACAGGGTGCTGTACAATCCTAAGAGCCAATGGCACTTTCTTCTGGAAAAAAAAAAGCAGCCTATTTTTATTTGCCTATATATCCTTTTGTCAGATTGTTTAATAGCTCTTCAGTAAAATAATGTAGCTTCTTTGGAGTTTGTTTTTTTGTTTTGGTTTGGTTTTTTGTTTGTTTGGGGTTTTTTTGGTTTTTTAGTATCAACGCTGCCCTGAATTATAGCCTAGTCAACTCAGGATTACAAAATCCATATTACCAACAAACCAAAACATCCACCTCTGTATACACTTGAAACTGCAGTGATTTCTACACCACACCATCATCCTTTAAATGTCTATTGTCATTTGGCAGCACATCTAATTTAGGAAGATGAGATAAATATCTATGCTTCGAGCCTTGGTACTTTACATACCGTTTTAGTTACGTAAATGGATAAACAGTTTCAAGAAACATGTGCTGAATCCAGTACCAGCAGTGTGTTGTGTCTCCTTGAGCAAATGTGAGAGAAGCATATTTTAAATAGACTCCTCTTCAAAATAGACACCTGATCCTGGATTTCATCCACTCTCTTCTTTTGTGTCAAGCCAAAAAAAAAAAAAAAAAAAAAGAAGTTATGATAAATTAGCTGACTGGGAAATGCAAAAGTCACTCATGCTTCATTTTTATTGGAAGGTAGAGACCTTCCAATAAGGACAGGCTTGACCAATTGTGTCATGTCTTGTCTAGAAGAGAGGGGAATATCTTTTCCAAGTCCTGTAACTAAGGAGCAGCAAACACATGACTGTCTTCCTAAATCTGAGTACGTAGTTACATGGAGTGCTGCAATTTGCTTCAAGTTTCCACGCCTATGAATTCAGAATGACCCTTTTGCCCTTCTTTTAAGAAGGATAAACTGATCTATTCCAGACAACCAGCTAATCCTCATGACTGCTGTGTGCAAGCAGAGTCCTACAGCAGTTTCCTTACAGATTTAGTACCCACCTTCAGCTAACATCAATTGGTACACCAGAGTTAAAAAGTCAAGTAAACAAACACCTATCTTGCACTTGTTCTGAAGGCATTTTATGGAATTTTACAGAAAGTAAAACACTCATGGAAGAATACTACTGAAATGCTCTTCCTTTGGAATAGGAGAGAGGATGTAATCTGTGTGCTTGTTTTATGAAAAACCATACAGATATCATACAGTTCTAAGATTAAAATGAATCATATTGCATACAGACCTACAGATCCAGATCAAGGATCTGTAGAGGAGATTATTCACTTGGCAAGGAGGGATCAAGCATACATTCAAAAATACATCTAGTGTATAACATACCATTACTACTCAAAATGGCAACTGCTTTTTCCAGCTGTGCACTAAGACAGGCACCTAATATCTGATGCAACATTACTATATGAGCATCCTCTGTTTGATGCCCTAAGAAGCCTCCATCCTTAAACATTCATGCTTCTAATTCAGGTATTTCAACAGAGTCAAACACCACAAGAATCTAGTGCAGAAATGGCTTAAAAACAGATTTAGACTTCTAAAGTGTTTATAGGCACCTCAGTAACTTTTACTAAGGGCTCATTTCCCTAGCAAGTCAAGTTGATTTCACTCATTTACACTCCTACCAGTTGTGCATGGTGAAATCTAGAGCTCTGTGACCTACTCAACATAACTTGCACCTGTCCCTTAGGAAACTATTGCAGGTTAGGAAATCTCACTGTCACAGAAATGTTCCTGTTAGCTGGATATCACTATCCTGTTCCTCGTTTTGTCCTTCATTCCTATTTATAACCCTTAGCAATAGGTTTATTAAAAGGTTGTTGTTCTCTTTTGTAGTTTTGGTTTGTTTTTATTAAATTTCGTTTTTATAAATAGAATTCTCTGTTCCAGCTTCCCAACGACCTTGGTTTTTGTCCCCAAGCTAACTCCTTACTAGAAAGGGACAGATAAGTTATCATAACAGGTCTTAGCTATCTTGTAGGAGAAGGATATACATAGTGGAGATGGAATATTTATTCCCTACATGTGCACATCTACCAGAAGAAGCAGAGGACATGCAGGCAAATACAGACACCTGTTTGAATAACACTTCATGGAACTACAAGGGGGAATGGGGCTCCTAGTTGGAGTACAAGGGAAGTTTCATTCTCATGCAATCCCAGACGCACCAGCAACAAGGTCTTCCTCCTACCTGGAATCCTTCTCATTGAGCAATAAGAGAAAGGACCAGAGAGAGGTGCTTGAAAAGCATAGTTAGCACCAATTTGCATATACTTTCTATGAGATTTTCTTGTTTAGCTCATTAAGTTTTTGTCTTTTGACATGCCTGAACTCCATTAGTGATACCTTGTGCTGGTCACACACCTGCTTATTCCAAGAGTTAAGAGTGTCGAAATACATCCTCTGTGAAAACTGTGAAAATTATTTATGCCTCCCTCAAGATGCCATAAGGTGAACTGCCTTACCACTGGGAGAGCAAGACCCTCAAACTCAAAACACTCCTGCCTTTCAAGATGAATCTTTCAGTGTTAGTCCAGCCTTGTTAAGGATGGCAGTACAGTTATACCTGGTGCACACATAGGACGTCATTCACAGAATTTGCAGAGTGTTGTCATGGTACTCCTGATGTGACCATGATCTATCAAAACAAAGTTACTCCTTCCCAGCACTGTGCCCATTCCCAGGGTCTTATCACATCACACTGTATAAGGATCCCTTTTCCTTAACATACCAAGCCTAATGCAAAATGAAAATGCTTTCACATAAGTGCTGTCACACATGGACAGCCTAGTACTGGGCTAGAGATGCTTTAAAGGAAATGCCAGAGAGCAGAAAGAACCTGACCACCCCAAAGCTGTTCTTCGGAAAGCTGCAGGCTGCTCCTGCACTGGCTTGGAACAGCGCTGGAACTGTCTGTTGTTCAAAAGCCGTTTCTAACCACGCCATGTGTCATTCTCTCAAAACTGGCTGATGAAATCAAAAAGATTGCATGGCATTTAGTTGTAAGTAACAACAAATTATTCTAGGAAAAGACAAAAAAAAAAGACTAATTAAAAAAAAGACTATCGTGTTATGCCTGCATTTAGGTTTTCTTAAGCCTAACCCTATCCAAGCTTTTGTTGAGTTCAATGGGTGTTATCAGTTTCTGAGGTCTACAGCAGCAGCCTTGCTGTAATTCTTACAAGGAATTATAGATTTAATTTTGGAGATAGCAATACTAGATTAATTCAGTTCCAGACAAGATTAAAACCCTACTTTTCCAGGAGCCTTATTTATCATTAAAATCTAAACAGCTTGACTGAAAGGGAATTAATAATTGTGCTCCTTCCAACTTGAGAAATCAGTGTTTTGTGGTCAGTAACAGCTGTGCCAACATGTGACTACACTCTTCTACCAGATCAGGTAAAACCGTTATATTACAATCTGCATTTATTTCATTTGGGCCTAAGACACAACTGCCAGGAAGTGCTGCCTAGTGATCCTACAGCCAGTGTCAAGGCTCAGGATGTGAGTTTTGATGAGCCTCTGTTTCTCACAGATTTCCTAGGATCTAGTGTTGAGAGAGAGAAAATGCTTTCCCACAGAGCTGAGGCAACTGTAAACATTGCTCCTATGTTCTGGGGGGAAAAAAACAGTCCTGTGGAGTGCCACAGAATTCCCAACAAGCCTGTTTGAGCCACAGTTTCTGTCCCATCATGTGTATCATGCATTAAGCAAGTTGAAAATTACACTGTATTTAACTGTGATGAGGTCCTACATGCATCCTCCTTCATGAGCTGGGCTTCAGTACTAGCCTCACATAAAAGTACACAGAGAACAGAAAAGTATAGGAAGCAACAATTTAAATAACTCAACATGTAGGATGCAGGAATTCCAACAGCCACAACAAGCTCTGAGGTGAATGCAGCCTTCTCAACAGTGCTGGGCAAAGCTCTGCCTCAAAGCAGCAGTAGTCAAAATCCAATTTTATCTTCACCCAGGTCCCACAATTATCAAAATTATATAGGGGGAAAAAAAATACCAAAAAAACTACCAGGGGAATCAGACAGCACAAGGAACCTAAAATACAAATGGAAAATTCACAGTTCATTAGCAACCTTACATGTGGGGTTTTTTTCCCCCCTGTTAAAAGAGTTGTTCTAAGATGCCATAACTCCCACTTCTTCCCTGAGGCAGTAACTGGATTTATATTCCGGAGTTAAACTGAAAGGAATAAAAAAAGAGTGCAAAACATCTGCATAGTTTACAACCTCTAGCCTGAAAATATGAGCTTATCCCCACGATTTTTTTTTTTTTTTTTACACCACAAATATTTTAGAGAGCTCTGATGACTTCCAGATGCCACATTTCATATTGTAAAGCAGCTGTAGGAAGCAAACAGAACATACAGTCATATTTTTCAAAATTTGAAAACACAGCTGAGAGATCCACTTACCTGTACACATGCAGTACACCCACTTATAAGCCAGTACTGCACAGAAATAACTTCACAGGCAATAAACAGGTCAGGACTTAAATATATAAGCCCTCGACTACCTCTACAACAGTATTTCTAAGTATGTAGCAGATCTGCTGAATCACTAACCAGACATTAGCAACCCATGCTCCACCTTTCCAGTCCCTCTCTCACCACACATATCCTCACCAGACAAAATGCAAGTTCACAACCAGAACTACCCAAGTTCCTGGTAAACTCCAGAGACAATGTTACATCACTAAACTCCCTCATAGATATCTCCTCCCCCTCAATACAAACTTATTTACAGACGCTTTTCACCTTTTGTATCCCCTGCCAGAATCTACACAATGCCATGACACCAGAAATCAGGGCTATTGAAATGAAACTATAACTCTTCTGACTGGAGCCTTTTCCACGAGTCTGTAACATGCACACTTTGATACCACTCTTTGCCTTATTAAGGACAAACACAGCACTGGATCCAGTTACAAATATTGATCTGGCAGCAACTGACATCCTCTATATTTATTGGATAGACTAACAAAATGGGACATCTTTCTTAAAGACTTTAGTTTTAAGTCAATCTCAAAACACAAATTTATTTTGCGGTACCATTCTCTGCTGTCAGCGTGACTTATGCTAGATACAGCACAAGAATGTGCCTATGGCAACAAGACAAATACAATAAGTGATTTAATAGCCTAACCTCTAAAGTACACTTACTTGTCTATGTTTTTTCCCCTCATCAGAAAAAGGCCTTGCGAGAAAAGTGGCTCTTGGATGGCTTTAGTTCTCTCACTCCAAAAGAGCAAGAAGAAATGCAGAAGCAGAATCTGGAGGACCAACAAAGGACTCGTGAGCTGGAACAAGACATTTTCAGGTAGGGTAGTACCCCTGCCCTTCATTCTGGGTTAAAAGGGTCCCTTCTTAATAGGTCCTACCTTGTTTTGTAAAAGGTAAAACATCAGCACAGGCTAAACTTATGCAGTTTGCTACACAGAGTAAAGCAATCTCCTTTATATTTTCTAGTCAGCTAGAATTAGAAAATGCACAGTGCAATCTTCCATACTGTGAATTTTGTCAAACTGCACAGTAAATATCTTGCAGTGTATTTGTTTCTCTAATTCCAGATATCCCTTTCATGCTATATTCAATAGATGTAAGCCACAGAATATAGGTTTTGCTGTTAGATAATTTCAAAATAACAGTAAATAGTTTTAATATTCTTCATAGGTTCTGCACAGTCTTTAATATCCAACATCTACCATAGCACAGCACTTCAGAGTAGTACAAGCTGCCTAGACCTATTAGCATCACTTGCCATATTTTCACTTATCTTCCACACACTTTTGTCCTCAATTTATTCCCAGAAGCCTGTTACAGCAAAGGCTTTTTTCTACTTTTTATTAGAAATTTTCCTACAAATCTCAATGCCTGGTGCCTCCCAACCACAGATGGCTAACATCCTCACATGTGATGCCTTTATTTACTATGGACATATTTTGAGGTCCTTAATAGATGCAGTTAGCTGTTCCCAAACACAGGGCTCTGTACAAAATTAGCTCCTTCGCTTGGTCCAGGCATACTGACTGGTACTACCCATTTGGACCCCCAGAAAAGATTTAAGTGTTCCTGTTTCTCTAGAATCTGAAAAATTTCATCATTCTTTTTTGAGGCTGCTGCTTCTATTTTAGCGCAATAACATCTTCCTCCATACTATTCTCTTCCTCCCCTGTCCTCCTACACACACCCTTTTGGTAAAGTTGTCACCAAGATTCCTTCCTCCGGTTATCTCCCACCCACTTTCCTCCTTACTCCATCTCTGACACAAACGATAATTCTCCTGGCTGACAGGCAGCAGCCTAGTGCTAGTTTGTCCTATAATTACACCAATTTCTTCCTTGAAAGCACTCTTCTCAATGGAGCAGCTTTTCACACACCTCTGAAGAATTCTTTGTTGCAGTGCTAGGATGTAGACAGGGTGCTCTAAAAACGTCCCAGCAGGTTGCGATTACGAAGACATGCAAGAGGGGTCCCTACAACAGTGTGCTAACCAGGAGAGCCGTGTCGGGGAGGACTGGCTCAGGAGCAACAGGGAAGTTGCTCTGAGCAAGCAGCTCCCCGCCAGCCCACTGAAAGTTCAGCTCTTCTCCAAGCACTGGGAGGATAGACTAGATTTTCAAAGTCCCACTGACTGAGTAAGAGTTGGAGGTTTAGCTGCAGTCTCCTTAATGCCCTAAGAAATCTGATGATGGAAGATTTTTAAAACTACTTATTTCTTTTAAGTCTCAGAACCAAGTCAAGAACTGGATTTGGTATGTAGCTACAATGGGGAAAGCATTCTTTTATTCTCCTGATGTAACCTATGCCTACACTGTTGCCAATACCCAAGTAAAGAACAAGCAATACTATCACAATGTCTGAGAACATATATGTCCCTCAAAAGGAAAGCTGCTGAACTCCTGACATAAACTGCCTTCAAAACAGAGAAATACTCTAGCAAGAAGTGTACTATATCTCCAGCATCTCAATCCAGTCTGTCACTTCCCATCTTCAGGGTTCTCTGCACCAGAATCATTGTAACTGAGCTAACTCACAGCAACGCTGGCAGCAGGTCCCTTCTGTCCCATCCCTGGGAAGACTCGAAATGCAGGATTAGGACTTCAAAGCCTTACTGCAATGCTAGTTCAGAGATTTCAGCAAATGGCGTTAATTATTCACACACAAAATGTTATTTCCATGTATCACAGAATCCTGTGTTTGTAACTATAGTTGTAGAGTCTTTTGATGCCATTTTTATAATTATTGACCTGAATTTGTTTTCAGCTCAGGGGCCTTGATTTATTTTTTTTTCCTCAGGGACTCAAACTGAACACACATTTACTTCTCTGACTATTGCCATAATCATTTAGTAATTTTTTTTTTTAGCATGACAAGAATTGATCACTATTGCAAATACTAAAACAGGAATCTAAGTGGAGCTTCAAACCTGAAAAGCTCCTCTAAGTTTACATAGGTAAATAGCATCATGAAGGAATATTTCCTCTGCTTTAATTCTAGGTGGGATCCAAAAGTTGACAAATGGTTATAAATGTTAAAGCTTATCTGAATCAGAAGCTTCCAGGTCTCTTAAATGATGCCCACAGGCATTGAAAGGATGATTTCTAAATACAGTTGTGCTGTAAGAAAGGAAAAATCAAAGTGCCAAAACTATCATTTGCCTCTGATTGCTTTCTGAAATCACAGCATGACTCCTGCAGTAACATCTCAGCCTATCTCCACCTTTTGATAACTACAAGGATTAGATGCAGATGCACTGTGAATGGGAAGGCTCCATGTTTAGTCCCGCATCACATGAGCAAAAGTGTACACACATTATACCAAACAAGGCAGAGGTTCCTCAGCTCCTGCACTTGATGTATGCCTGAGCCTGGAGCAGCACAGCTATAGAAAGGTGCCTGTTACCTTGCTGCTGAAATTTTGGCAGAGACATAGCATATATGTTCAGCATATACAAAAAAAAAAAAAAAAAAAATTTAGAATTCCTTTCCCTTGCAGGTGGGATGCATGGATGATTTTTATTTGTTTTGTGGTGTTTTTCAGTTGGGTTTGTCATTTGGTATTTTTGCTGCTTGTTTTTTCCAATAGTTGCTATTTACATGCCTGCATTTAAGAGAAATTTATTAGGAATTAATTCTTTTGCTACATAGTTCCAGACTGAGTTAATTACAAGCCTAAGTACTGTTTGTGTATCTAACTAGCTGATATTCTGACCATAAATCAACAATTTTAACTTATTTCGTTTCATTTTCATCACAAGTGTAATCACTATAGTGGAAAAAAAAAAAAGCAATAAACATTTGATTGTAGTTGCTGGCCTGTTTCCTCTTATTACAAATATTCTTTTTCCAAGGATAGAAAGCTATTTTTTTTTTTTACTACGTTTGCTTAACAAAGAAAAAAAACCCTGTGAATGGTGGTTCTTTTATTTTTATATATGCTGCTCTGGCAATTTGTTTTACCACAGTGCACTAAGTATTTCCAGACATCTGTTGTTAATACCAGTGTTACCAACAAACTTTTCCTGCCTGTAACCTTCTCCTGGGATGCTCCACCAAACTACTTCCTCCTTAAGATGTTTCCTACTTCTTGACATACATCCGAAACAGTTCAGATTTTTTTGTGGTGAAATGAATCAGACAAAGTATACAAGCATAAAATGAAGAGATTAACTGGCAAAGAAAGTATAACAAAATGGCACACTGCCTTCCCTGTTATAACAACTTCATGGGTATAATGCACCCTGGAAATGAAGATCATTGCAGAAATGCCCCTAATTACATGCCTGAGCCACTCTGAGTTAAGAGGACTTAATTCACCATTGCTAAAGTTTGGAAGATTGTTCAAAGGTTTGTAGGGCCTAGATATAAAAAAAAAAGTTTTCATTACTGATATACTTACTCTCATAACCAATCTATACACCCTCAAGTCTTTGACTGCTTTTATCTTCACAATACACAGAGAACTCGGACAAGGACGTTTGATTTTACAGAGGGAGAATGGAAGCAGAAAAACCTACCTGGAGCCATGTAGGAACTTCCCTCTCAACTAGGAATTTAAGCAGGTTTATCCATATCAAGCATCTTTTGCTATAAATTATACTTTCTACAACTCCTCAATTGTTGTCTAGAAAAAGCCTCTAGAGAAATACCCATGCTGCCTTCCAGATATCACTACATTTTGGTTAAACATACCCAGCCCAGCTTCCAACCAGACTGCAGCAATACTGAAACCCATCAATACAGAGTCCACTAAGCACAAAATAGGCACCATACAGTGCTGGCACAGTGCTTTTGCTCTGCCCTAGATACCAGCCAAGCTAACAAAAGCTTGCTTGACTACACATATGCAAAGTCATACATTTACCCTGCCCTGTAAATCAAAGATTGCTAAACTGATCATGTGGACAGACGTCATGCAGTAGTAGATATATTATTGAGAAGACAAGTAAAATTCCTTCTTCTGGACATCTAATTATTAAACTCCGTTTGCTTCAGATAGATTCTGTCCACTCTGATGATTGTTCTGCATGGGTTAAAAACATCTCAGTCACTGTAAAGACTTTCTGAATACCCTTAGTATTTGTTTCTTTCTGCAGAAAGGACAGCTGCAGTTGCAGGCAGATTGTGTGCAGTAGTGGCATGGGACTTTCCATCATTCTCCTAAATGGGACCTCTGTTTGGAAACATTCTTCACTTGGGTGCTGAACAGAGCTAGTGTATGTCTGCTAATCATCTTGGATTTGAGCATATTCTGATAAAAGGGAGAGTTCCATTCTTTGTATCAACAACAAAACAGTGAATGCTGAGTGGCCTGAAGCACCCTGCAGACAAATTGCTGAACGACCTGGTTCCAGACAAAAAAAAATACTATTTACATTATCTGTCCTATTCACTCTTTACATGTTAGAAGTTACAGTGAGCCAAGCGAGCATGTCCTTGCTCAGCGTAAAAGCTGAATGAAGAATTAGGAGTCCCATTTTCTCATTTAACCTTCAGCTAGTAGCACTCATTCTTGATGGAATTAGTTGCTAAACAACATACTTAAATGCACAGAACATAAGGGTTTTGACCATTAACTAAGATCTATTCCATGGTTTGTAATACCATACATGAAGGCAGGCTAAAGCTAGATGGACTCCAGAGGTGCTAAAGCATTTGACTCATCTCAAAACACAGGAGGACTTGTTAAACTGCCTTTTCCAGTATTCTCTAGTATGGTATGCTCCCATCTGCATTTCATTCTTAAGCCATTTTTCTTCAGGGGTGGTAGTGGTGCCAACCCCAGCAGATCAGCTGGTGGCCAGCAGCAGTAAGAATACTCTATAGAATTTCTTAATTCAGCTACTAAATTGGCAGAGAAACCTCCAGTTTAGTATCTCAGCTTCTAAGGTTTCTTTTTTCATCCATACCTCTATTCCAGCTATTTTCCCCTGGCAAATAATGAACGCTACTCGAGGAGAGGAGGACAAATATCCCAAGAATTAAGTACAGTAGCTACATCATACTTCCATTTGTCTACAAAATACAGCAGCACCATGAAAAGTTAGTTTCTTATAATTGCTAGTGTAGCTGCTAGATCCTTTCAAAACAAATGGTGATATAACTTCATAAAGATGTCATTGATTTAGCAGTTTCTGAAGATTTAAACACATCGGAAAGATCCTGGCCTAACTTTTCAACTTTACAAAATCAAAAGGACTTTGATTTCTTACAACTCTACAGACTGCATCTTCAAAAAGTTTCCTTTCAACAAATCCCAGCATGCACACTCACAACATCCTCTGAAAATGAACCATAAAAATTCTACATGCAAGTAGGAGTGCAAAAGAGATACTTATGGTCTTGATGCGATTCCCATTACAAAGGAATGAGAATTTTTCCCTAACCTCACTAAACACTGAATCAGTCCTCTTAATTACCATATAAAGTGGGTGTTGGTATGGGTGTGAGCACATATAAACTTAAATACTACTTCTCTTGATCTCCTAGATAACTATATGGGGTTCACCAACTTTGCTTTATTTGGTGTTGTGATTTCTCTTTCTCTCTTCCCTCCCCCCACTTTTTTTTTTTAAAATAACTTTCAAAGTTTCTTTTCTACTCTTCTACCTATGCCTAGGTATGTCAAGAATCCAGACTGAAATAAACCTGTAGTAAAAGTTAATGATGCTTCAGTTCATTATGCCTCTGTGAGCTTTTAATGATTTTTGCATTATGATACTATTGCAATCAAGTCTCATGTAAAAACACAGTATTTCAATATAGTAAATATTATTCTGTAAGAAGTGAAGTATACAATGACCATGTGCCATATTTCTATTCTTGTATAGCTCTCCAAGAATATTCAACCCCCTCAAAATTTTTACATTTCAGCACTATAATCAGTACCTTGAGCAGGGTCCTATGGACCTGAGCTCTGCAAGATGTCCTAAGTGTTATTTGCTTTAATATTTTTTTTCTTTATTTAGCCTTTACTTTCATCCTGAATACATTTTTCTTCACATCGCAGTTCTTGTGTCTGTGATACCTTTATTTCAAAAAAGAAAATCTTCTCACTAACAGATGAAGGTCCATGTAGTATTCTATTGTTGTAGCTCTACAAATGTGAATTTAAACAGGGTAAGAGCTACGGTGTTAATTTAGATTCCTCAAGCAGTCACAGAGGGAGATAAACAATGTTTCTTTGCCAGTCTGCACTCAACTTTTCTCATCTGCTTACTTTAAGGACATGACAGGTTTCTAGTATTAATGTTGACTTCAGTGTAATATTGTGGATCCTAGTACATGCTAAAGAACAAGCCAAAACATAAAACAGCTTTTTCAATCAGGGTTATACAGCATCATTACCCTATTTTTAACTTCGGCTCAGATCTAGTAGTAACTATTTTGACTGATCTCAGCAACTCATAATATCAGTTGCCTTAAGACTACAGTTATCAGTTTCTGGCATGGATTCAAAAATGATGGAAGACATATTGCACTCAAACGTAGAAGGGTTGGAAATTTGCTTTCATTGTTTGTTTGTTTTGGGTTTGGGGTTTTTTTACAAGACTTTCTTCCAAAACCCCTCTGAATAAGGAAAGGCAAATGAACCAGGAGACTGAAGCTATATGGCACTCACCTACAGCATGAAAAAAACCAGTTCAAGTCCTAGTTCAGAGCTAAACCTGGACTTGAGTCTAGACATTCATGGAAAAGAGACTTCCAAACTACTAGGCTAATAGGGCAAATTTCTATCTAAAACCCAACAAGCTTGTGCTTAGGTAGAAAGGAACACTCTTGACTAGAAAGAGGGAGAAAAAAAAGGATATGGGACACTCGCTTAAATCACTGCTTAGTCACCAGAGAAAAGAATTTGACTGAAATACTTTACCTTATTGAGGTGTGCTTAAACTGGGCATAGCTTTCTCCCTCTCTCACATAGAGATTGGATGCTTTATCCTGGACCTTTCTGTCTAGAAGTGTTTTGTCAGACATCATAGTGCTAAGAAAGTAAAAACTATTTAGTAAACGATGCCTTAAACATTGTACTCAGCTTTAACATGAAAGAGATCACATAACAGTTTTAGTATCTAACAAAAATGGGAGGTAAAGGGAGCTGTGACCCCTCCTAAATAATGTACAAGCCTATGGCAGAAGTCAATAGCCCAAAAGAAATTTTCACTGATGAACTTTACTCTGCCTTTTAAATAACAATAGAGGGTTAAGAAAATAGTTAGCATATCAGCCAAGTCTTAACTGGCAAGATTCTTCTCTTCGGCAGTGCTAAAATCTGACAGACATAAGTCAATTGCTGAATATCCTGCTGTCTTAGAGAATATGCAAAGTTAGTGTATTTGGTATTCATAAGAGACAGGCTCGTCTTTGTAAAACAAAGCTCTCACTGACTAGACCTGGGTACAATCAAGGCTCCTCCTCTAATAAACAGGCTTTTAAAAATTGTTTCTTAGTGTAGGAAATCTCACCTAATTCAGCCTTAGAAAGTGACTGCTATTAGCACCTAATGCAACATATATCACACCTCTCTGAACTACCTAGTTTGCTCTTGGAAATCCATTGGTGAGGATATTACTTGAGCAAACACTGCAAGCATGAACCTTCCCCCAGTTGCTTGCCCTAGGTGCACTGAACCAGTGTGTTTTACGTGACTGCTGTTCTGCTGAACAGGACTGCTTTCCAGGAACAAGATTTCAGCACTTTTCCCAGAGAATTAAGTACACAGAACATTGATGAGCGACTATGGACACATGCACATTTGTAAAAGTCTTAGTACGCAGACCCAAAGAGAAGCTGCTAAAACTTACTAGTATTTTAGCTCTGTAGCCACACAAGTTCTGGCCTAGTCTGTCAAACACTACAACATCACCTACCCCACATCAGCAATATCACACACCCCTCAGAAAGCCCCTTCATCATCCTGGGTGTTCATAAATTGTTAATTCTCAGCCCCAGACAGGCTGGAAAACAACAAAGCTTCAGGCTTTAGTCCCTTGAGCATCCTCTCACTATACAGGTTGCTTAGTTTTAAAAATCCACACAGTTCTTAAGTTATCATATCATAGAAGTAGCCTGGCAAAGCATGTCACTATTATGATTTTTAGCTGTATTAATTTTCATAATAGGAAATTAGTTAAGAGCAGTTTTAGCTACAAAAGTTACCTGCAAATGCCATTATTATTTTATCAGAAAGGTAATACCAGTTCTACTCCTCAAATATTTGTAATTTGATTTCCACTGATATAGGTGATTCTTCTGGTAACTTCAAGTTAGATACTGACTAGAACCTTCCTCTACAGGGGATGCTCCTGAATAGTTTGGCTATATATATAATAAAATACAGCATATGAGGTGATGCATTCTAGCCCTGTAATTACTACCAGGTACAAGAACATTCTAACTTTCTTATAACAAAAGAATTTTCTTCTTTTCATCATGTGTACAAGTACACACATATGATTAAGGGACAAATGAAGTCATAACCCTGGTGTCTGTATACTAGCTTCCTACATCTTAATTAAAACAAAGCAATAACAATTCTTTAGACAATCTAGGAGAGAAGATTTTCTTAGAGATGAGGAAATGCTGTGGGGGTCTAGATTCCTTACTTATTCCCTCCTGAAAAATAAGTTAATTTCATCCACCATTTTCAAAGTAAGCTCAGAAGCAATCTATGACAGGTGGTGCTTCAGTGATTTTTTTTTTTAAATGAGAAAGCTATTTCACAGTATTTCCTGATGCATGTGAAACTGTAAGCTGATCTCATTAGAGCAAAATTTGTCAGAGTAAGTAGACCCAGCCGCACTAACATCCATATGCACAGTGTATCATATCTGCAATGTTGTGATTGCATTGTTGTGGCTGAATTGTGATTGCAGACTGGAGAAGGAAATTGAGGCTCTGGAAAAAGAGGAAATGGAAGTCTCAGCTAAGGAAGAAGCAATATTAAAGAAACTTAAGTCTGTTGAGAAAACAACAGAAGACATAATAAAGGTTAGTGCTAAATTATTCCAGAAGCGGAATTCATTACTTTTTCAGTAGAATAACCAGAGAAAGGTGAACAAGATGGATTCTGTGAGTAGTCATGAGCTTTTTTGTAAAGTGGCCAGAGTTCAAATGCAAGAGGGGTCAAGACGTTGCATTGCTCAAGTGCTCAGGTGTCTCACTTTGCATATTTATGAGGGTGGGGGAGCAATTCCTATCATGACCCATCTATAACACACCTCAAAAAAATAGCACTGCAATGGACCAGCAACTTTGCATCTCAGCCTGAGACAGACCAAACAGGAACAGAGGCTGACCTTCATTCTTCAGGTGATGCGCCCAGCTGAATTGCACCAAGTCCTTTCCCCAAGTGCCTGACTGAGAGGTTATACTGAAATATGACTGATAATATTATCAGTCATTAGTCTTTGTCAAAAGGTCATTTTGGTATTTGAAAATCTTAAACTGTCTCAAAAGTGATGAAACAATAGTTCTGGAAAGCTTTGGAAAAATCTTTGAAGCCAACTAGTTTTGGCCATAGTGTGAGGCTGTGTCACTGATGAACAATTTGTAATGTCCTGTTGTTCCCTGTGTGACTTGAAATTATATTGCCAAAAATGACCAGAAAAATTTCAGTTTCTCCCTTGCCACGCTTCAGCTGAAAAGTTTCCACTTTTAGTGCCTTTTGTCATGAAGCTGTGCACGCAAAAAGTTAAGACTCTCAGAGAATATAAAGTACTGTCTAGTTAACATCCTAAAACTGACTAATCACATTTATCGTTCATGGTTCTCTTTCCTAGTCTGTGAAGACTGAAAAAGGAAGAGTTGAAAAAGGTATGTTTGGTCAAATAAATAGTTTTTAAACTGTTCTTGTCAAAGCCAATCAAAATGTACTTAAATGTTTTGTGTCTTCTTTATTCAGAGGCAGCAGACTACATATATGCCAACATACCTGACCTTCCCAAGCATTTCAGGCCTTCTGCACTGAGAAGTACAGCACACACTGCCACCAGTGATGAAGAAAATAGAAAAGGTACTGCTTGTTAGCAACCCCAAAGGGTGCAGATGTCTGTAAAGACTTACTATAAATTGAACCTAATACACTTTAAGGGAAGGATAAACAGTACAGACACAAGATAATGAAGATCCCATTTAAGCTGTGTTATATGAGCCACCAAAACCAAGAGGATAGACACTAAAGTAAGGCATATGGCATTAAGAATGAGGATCAAGCACTTTCAACATTGACGTTTCTTCACAGCACTTCATTTCTCTACCTGGCCTAACTTTTAAGTAGTTCCTCCCTTTGTATCATATATTTCACATTTTCTACCTGCACTTAAAACTACTGGGCAGCCAGCAGTAGGCTGGATATTTTTCAGCTACTACAAAGCTTCAGAATCCTTCCAAGAGCTCAAGACTCTCAAGTCTTGTAGCACATGGAGCTCTTTCAGCTGCAGTAGCACAACACACCACCAGGGCCAAGGCTAAATCTGGCTTTGTCAGTCAATCACAAAATGAAAACTGGCTCGTCCACAGCTTATTTTTCCTCACAGAATTAGATCAAAAAGATTTTTTTTTCCTTCAAGTTTTGACAGAACAGAAGGGGACATTCAAAATGAGAAACCAATATATTGGTTATGCATGTGATAATTTCATGTATTTGATAATTCTGATTGTCACTCTCTGTCACTGTCAGAACTCCACTATGTTTCTTGCAGCTGCTGCATTACCAGTTTAAACACTTGTTTCTTTCAACAGCATTGTTTGCCATGGAAATTAAAGTTGAAAAAGACATGAAGACAGGAGAAAACACAGTGCTATCAACAATACCTCTTCCCTCAAAGGAGTTTAAAGAGACAGGAGTTAAAGTCTATGATGATGGCAGGAAGTCAGTCTATGCTGTGTCCTCAAATGGCAGCACAACACAAAATGAGATGGATGAACTTGCTCCTGTTGAGGTGGAGGACCTGCTACGGCAGGCAACTGAAAAAAATTCCCAGTCTCCTACAGAGTATCATGAGCCTGTGTTTGCAAACAAATTTTGCAGGCCAGCTACTCCGCACAAAGACAAATTAGTCCCTGGACCAAAACTGGAAGACACTCAGAGAAGAGAGATGAACGGATTTAGCAATCATCAGACAGAATTCTCCTTGCAAGCAGAGCCCTTCATGCAGCAACATAAAGAGAACGGGCTCGACCTTCCTAAGGTAATACAGCCAAAGTCCCCCTCCCCAGTACTTTCCCATTCAGAGAAGCAAGTTCACTCTAATCCTGAGAACAGGATGAAGCATCAAGAAGAAAGAAAAGATGCACACGAAGAATTAAAACCTTACCAGAATACAAAAGAAAGATGTAATGAGACAAGTCCCTGCCATCTTAATGAAACACCCCCTGCACGCCAAGGTGAGGAAGATGTTCAGTACAGCGTTGTCCAAGCTGTGCCATGTTACGTGGATGATTCTGAACCAGTGACGATGATTTTCATGGGCTATCAGCGCATTGATGATGATGCGGAAGCAGACCAGAAGTTGTCAAGATACGATGGGGTTATTCGTGCAGAATTAGTTGTCATTGATGATGATGAAGATGACAGCAAATCTGAGAAACCAGCATATCATCCAGTCGGCCACTATAGTCAGGTTTATCAGCCACCGAGCAGGAAAACCGCAGAAGTCCCACAGACAAACCTTGGGAGCAGTCTGGGTGCAAGCCTCAACAAGGTACCCCACAAAAATTCCATCTCCCTGCGAGAACAAGAGGAGCACCTAAGCTCACCAGCACACCACGCTCCTCTTCACGGCCAGGTATCTGGAGATGGTACTGAAGATCCCTCACTAACAGGTAACAGAAAAGGAAAATCGTGTCACTGCTGTTTGCTCATGTAGCAAACTGATACTCCTCTTATCTCCTAGCAACAGTTCCACTTTACTGTTTGGATTGCTTCATGGACTAACACACAATTACTAATAATTTCTTTGCTTCTTTGTTAACAAATGCCAAGCTGCATTTTGGTACCGTTCAATTATTTCATCTCTAGCAATGCACTAGTTACCATGTCAAAATTTAGAAAAATAAACCATCTCATAAAAGCCATTTCTGTAACCTTCAAAGATTATAAGAGGTTCTCTTTCAAGGGACAATTAAAAGTTCCATTAACGCTACCTCAATTAGCAGAATTAGTTTTCATTTCTACCAGGTAACTAACAGCATTGCTTAACACAGTCTCCTCACTGGAATGTTTTTGTGCCTGTCTGAACTCTAACTACTTCCTAGGTAATCCTAACTGCTCCTTAAATCAGAGAGGCTGTTTAATAGCCAGCTTTACTTTGTATTTTTCTGGAATTGGCAACGCCAACCTTGCCTTGACAACATTTATGCAAGTTTTGACTTTTTTGTTAACCTGAGTTAGGTATTTTCATAGCTTGTGAAAGACAATGAAAGTTTTCATCACTATGTGTACTTACACCATATAGTCCATATAGTTTTTTTAACACTTTTAATATTTTATTACTACTCAAGGTGTCTATTTCTTACTGTAATGTTTTATAACAAGAGTTTGAAAGAACAATAGCCAGATATTCCAGAAACACAGAAAGCTCTTCTTTATTATTATGTTGCACTTTACCACATACAATTAAAATGAATTTAAGTATATTTACAGAGCAGACTTCAGACAGTAGACATCCCACTACAAAGAAGGAACACTGCCCTTGAATTGTAGGAAGATTAGGGTCCTGATCCCACATTTTCTCCCTGCTCCTCTTCTAGAGTATATTCTGAAAAATTTTGCAATTTGGCAGCAAATGTGTAAATTTAGGCCCTGCCTAAAGCTACACTGGCAGCCCAGCATATTTTTACAATACAGGTAGAGCCAGGAGAGAGGGTAGTCATTAGATCAAGTATTTTTTGCATCAGTAGGCAGTGATTGGGGGGAGCTGTTCAATAACTGATGTGTTCACTACACAGGGGTATCAACCTTGTGCAGCCAAACACACACAACAGCCTGAAGCATTCCAGCAGTGCTTCCCAGCCTTTCCGATCAATGAGGCCACTGCTCTTTTTCTATCACTTGAGAGGACCTTTGCTTCTCTCAAGCACCAGTCCTGCTGTCTGTGCACTTCCCCACATCCTCCAGGGCCAAAGGCTCCTGCCAGTGACTCAGGGCAGCAACTGAAAGCAGAAGTATATCAAATATATCACTCCAGCAACTGCTCCAGCCCGTTATATTTTGAGGATAGTCCCTTAGTTCCCCCATCACATGTGTAGGCATACAATGACACTCATCTACCAAACCACAAGCTGGTTGCTACTGAAACAGTTAATGCATCCTACAGCCTGCTGCATCAGAGCTCCTGAATCTAGAAAAGATGTTTCCAGGAAGTAACTATGAGCTGTCAGTATGATTCAAGGGGGCCATACAGAGGCCATGGGGTGTTAGCTGAACACCTCTATCTGTAACAATCTTTGCTTATTTTTATGTCCTGAAAGAAGCTTCTGAAACGTCTTCATTTTTCCCTGCTACTCATAGATGCACTCCAAACAACCCAGGTTCTTTCTTTTGAGATTAGAAGAAAACAAACACTGACTTCCAGGGAAGGGGGATAAGTTCAAGTCTGGCAAAAACATTTGAGAATCTCTATTTGATCTTACCCATCTACTTACAAGTATTCCACCATGGAGAAAATGGCCAATTAAAACAAAAAAAAAAAAAAAAAAAAAAAAAAAAAAAAAAAAAAAAAAAAACCAAAAAAAAACCAACAACAAAAAAAAAACAACAAACACCACACACCCACACCACACCAAAACCCACAACACTGAAACGGTCCAAATTAAGTCAAGAACAGCTTGGCAACTGCTTCAGAAATACACCCCAACAACCAGCACTACCTCCAAGCAAATATCTGAAGGGCCCAGTAAAATCTGGCATTAAGCCAGATTGCTCTCTCTCTCTCCACCTATTTATTGCCACTCCCTGGGACATTTTGATCAGTAGAAAAAGCCAGGAAGTGACTCAAATTTTCCCAAGCAGTCCTGTAATCCTTCTGCGACCTCTAAAAAGGAAACAAAACCAGGAAAGCCTCCTAACTCTACAATAATGTATTATACAGAGCTGTTTCTTAGGAAAATAAATTGTTTTCAAAGCAGCCACCAATGCCCAGCCTTACAGGTTCACCCTAAGTATCACCAGTGAAAAGAGGGAAGATGAAATTAGGTTTGGTGCCTTATAATTCATTACTAAAACAAGAAATTGTATAAGAAAAAAAAACTTCCCTGCAATCAAAACTTTGGTACGCAATTGCAGCATTTGACCATTAGACAGGCACTGAGGATTCTGAAAGACTGGAAAGCAATGAAGCGCAGGACATACAATGGCAGTGGCCCCTTACATAACAATCTTGCTTTTGGAAAGAAATGAACCTTCAGAGCAAGTTACTAAAAAAGTTAGTGGTGGCCAAGGACAGCTAGGAGGCAGAGAAATCATTCCATGTGCTAATCCATATAGAAAAATACCAGCTTAATGAGCTTTCAGCATGCCCCTGAACTGAGAGAAAGGTAGGACATACTTCTTTCCATGCAGGTGCAATTTTCCTTCCCCCACAAGCTTGGTGGGGGGCCAATATCTCCAAGTACGTACCCTCAGAAAAAACAGAGAGGAGGATGACAATGCTGTAATGAGGTCACCAGGAGTTTGCATTATTAGCGCTTATTTTCTTCTTTAAATTTCAGCCAAATGAATTAGAGTACTAATGTTTTGAAGACTCAGTACTCATCAGGGAAATGAAAGAGTCCTTGTGGGAGGAAAAAGGCTAGACATAGTGGAATGAATAAAGGAAGGAAAAACTGAAGCTGAATGGGGAGTAAAATCTACTGACAATGTGGAACAGGCTCTCCTGGTACATGAAGGTCCAAGGCTTTTGACAGGTTTAGAGGAGCTAATTTTTTTCCTTAACACTAGAAGCTGTGCATCCTTCAAAAACCACTATGGAGACTTAGCCTCTGTTGCATGAAAGAAAGTAACACAAAACCCCTTTTTAATAGGGAGATTCAAGCATGCCATCAGTTTCTGTAACACAGAGCAAGACAAAACCAGACCATTGGCTGTAAGTGAAGCATCAGTCTGACTGTTCTCTCCAACCACAACCAGGACGTGAATCCTTCAGAATTCCTCAGTCTGCAAACAGTACATGGGGTCTTGATAAGAGTTAAGCTTAACATCAGTGGCACTGTGATAGAAAGTTGCACTGAGGTGCTTCTATGATTCACAGCAACTTCAGCGTTCAAAACATGACTGGAGCTGGACATTTTGCTGACATGCATAGCTCAAGTAAACAGCTGCTTTGACCCCGTGTCTCCCAGCACAGAGATATATGCAGGATGAAGGAACGAGACCTGCTATTTTGGGCAACTCTTCAAACTAACAGTGCAGAGGCCTGGAGATTATTGCCACTGCATTCTCAGATCAACTACGTGGTAGAGGGAGGCTCCTACATATCAAACAACAGCATTATATTGCTGTTCTAAAAATAACTTTAACATTTAATCATCTGCCCTGCACTGCCACTTTCAAACTCACCCACATTATAGCCAGTTACAGACAATAGCCATACTGCTGTTTATACAGACACTAAGTTACTCTGTCAGACTTAAATCAGGAATATGACTAACTCCCACTCTGACTCACTACACCAGGAAGAGACAGAAGTTTTTGGTGAACATTAACACAAAAGGAAAACCGCTTCCAAATAGTTACAGCTCCCACTGAGGAGTTTAGTTTAAACAAAGAGTTTAATTATTCACGCATCCTTTTAATCTGTCAGCATCTAGTCAAGGACAATACCATCTGTCTGGAGCACATTAGTGAAGCTAACCGAAAAAAAACAGTTAGAAAAGGGCTGTGTTAATTTTCAAACAGTGATAATGGAGTAATTTCTTAACATGCTGGCTTTATTGCAAAATTACCAGAACTAATGCCTTCTACCGATTTCTTTCTGTAACACTAAAACCATGCTTATTCTGCTGGATTAACCACCGGAGGTAGGTGTATTCTTCATTTTTCTAAATATGGAGATTTAGCACCAAAAATAGAAAGTTAGTCTTAAAATGCAATGGCTTTGTTTTCTTTTTTCAGCTCTGAGGATGAGAATGGCAAAGCTGGGGAAAAAGGTGATTTAACAGCTATAATGACATGGAAGTAAAATTTACCACTCAAAGCAGAATAAAGCTAAGAAGACTTTCTTCAACACACCTTTTCTGGATCATAATGTCTGTTTTGCTCCTCTGTTTTATGTATCTGGGTTATTTTGCCTTCTACATAATCCAACAGACTTCAACAGACTTGTAGATTTGACCAACTGCCACAAACACACAAACCCCATCCTGGATATTGCTGAAGGTAGAGGAAAATTACTTAAGGACATATATGCAGTGTATATCTAAGCATGAAGACATGTGCATACCTGTTCCCACAATCGGGAATACGTGGTTGCTATATACACAGAGCAGATAAACACCCACCTCCACAGAACTTCACAGGACATTGTTTCACTTCCAAGTGTGCCCATCTACCCGATTTTGATTGAAAATGCCATCCAGCATTTTTTTTTTTGGTAAAAGCACTGGTTAATAAAAAACTAAACACAAGAGATAGAAGCAGGAACAAGCATAACTATAAAAGCTGGTTTCTAAGAATACCGCCTTAGCCCAGGTTTAAAGCATTCCTAAGTGACAGCCAAACAAACCAAAAATAGTGAAGTCAGTATTTAAATATTTAGCCATCTCCTAGAGCTCCACAGTCTCTCCCCCCTCCCCATTTTATGTTTGATGGTATAGCCACCCTCAGACTCTGCTCCCTTCCCCTTGTCACACACGCTGCTCACCCACAACCTCACAGATCGATCCTGTGTGTAACATCCCAAATAGGCTGACCTCCCAAGCATGGTTTCACTACTAGCTTGCTCAGAAAGCCCTGCTTTTCCAGGAGACTGGCTGCCAGCCAGGCAGTGACTAGCCATCAAAAAAAACCCAAACCCACAAAAAAATCCCCCAAACCACCACTGCTTTGTGTACAGGTTTCAGTTGGCTAGAGAGCTAAAATTAGTGCAAGACTCCCATCAGAAATACTGAGTTGGTGATTGCTTGTCCTGCAGCTGCAAGAGAAAGCCTGTTAGAGGTGCAGCCACTGCTGGGCACAGCTCTCCAGCAAGGTCACCAAGGAACGAGCTAATTCTTCCCATGAGCTAAGGGCCCTTACAGCAGCCATAAGGCACAATTACACCTAGAAAAATCACATGCAAGTCAAGATTTTTCCAGTACAGCTCTCGGGGGGGGGAAGTGCCTCATAGCACCACATGCTTATATTCAAATCAGTATGATAGCTTTATTTCGTTAGGTCTTAGCCTGATTTCAATTCACTAGCAGATGCATTAAACAGATAAAACTCAGGTTGTGTTATTCTAGTATAGTGGACTCAAATTTTGCACCAGCAAAAAATGATTGTAACTTTTTTTGCTGGTCTTCCTCGTTTCAAGCAAGAAACTGAAACTACTACCTCATACTGAGGCACAATGGTAGTAATCAGCTGACTTGCAGCCTCTAAACACTCAATGGCTCTCAGTCTGAAGTAGGTAATAATCTCAAATTTTGGGACTTGTAAGAGATGGTTAGCTGCAGAGTGGAATAATAGAGAAGAGCAAATAAATTTTACTGTATTATACTTTCTCTATGTCTATCCTGGGTTTGTCTTCTTCCCCTTGTTCCTACTGTTCTTTGCTGTTTCCAAAAGCAGCAGAAGGAGTTACCTTCAACTCTTTCTTCTCCATCTTTTCAAAGGTTCTTAACAGGATACACCAAGGAGTGAGAGAGTCAGAAAGCAAACTGAAGTAGTCACAAGCAGGTTTTTTTTTTTTTTTGTTTTTTTTTAACAGTGGTAGGCTGCTATGGACACTCATCCCCTGCCTTCCCAATAATCTGTGCTATTAAACTATGATCTGGAAAAGGGGGCAAAAATGCTGCTGCAAACATACTATTCAGAGTAGATTAAAAGAAAGGAGATTGAAGAGAGAATTCACAATAGTGAATGCATAGTAAGTATACAACAGGTGAAATTCACTACCAAAACATGAGATGTTAAAAAAACAGAAACAACCCTAACCAGATGCAGTACAAGAAGTTGTTGTTCAGCTGGCGTTACAAACGTAGGAAACAAAACATCTTAGCATTATTTTAGATAGTCCTCTGAAAATACTATCTCCATGCTCAGAAGCCATGAAAATAAGAAGAGCTTTAAGATTCATTAGGGAAGGTGTGGAAAACAAACCAGAACTCTGGCACAGCACTTCATATTTACAACTTGAGCACAGTTAGGTCACCCCGTGTCTGAAATGACAAGCAGAGAAGACTAATGAAGATGATCAGCAGTGTGAAATGGCTCAATATATAGCAGCAGCTGTACAAGTAAAAAGACAGTAAGGCACAGACATGAGAGGCCAAGAGAAATGTGATAAAGGCAGGAAAGTAAAACCAAAACATCATCCATTAAATGATGACATCAAGAGGCAGGCTTAAAACAAAACCAAGAAGTTCTTTCTCATAGTGACAAATTACATGGGAGGGCAAAAGCATTAACAATTTCTTTTTTAAAGCAATTTATTGCATGCTTCATCGATAAAATTCAATAACTACAAAAGTTCATGGTACAGCTGTAGTTTCTAGCTTTGGACATCCTTGCACGTAGCAGGATGATCTTGCTGGGACCAAAATATCACTGCAGCCTTGCTACATCTTTTACTCTAAGCACTCATCACTACAGCCTCTGGAGATTATCCTGGGCTCAGCAGATCTCAGCTTTGCCACAGGGCAATTCTGATGTCCTATGTATAAAATATATTCAGTCTGTGCCAGTTGAATCTGAACTGTCTCACACTAATACACTAGCTATGTAGCAGCATGGATATCAGATCATTAATTTGGAGGGACAGACAAAATGGAGCACTGAAGAGCTGTGTGCTTCTGGGAAGCAGGGATGTTCCAAGCGCTGCAGCCCAGAGCTGCCCCACATATCAACAAGAGCTGAACCACAATAGGGCAAGTCATCACGTCAGTACAGATGCCATCCAAAACTCCAGTTCAGCATTAAAGCTGAATGATTTCTAAGGTCCAGCAAGGCAGAAGACTCTCAGACAAAGCCAAAGCTGGAGTCCCTCTTAGTGCAGCATTTTTTCTCCAGGATGACTATCACAGATACATAGCTCAGAGTGCAGCAGACGTTCAGCTTTTGTGGTTTGCCATATGTAAAGTCACTTCTGCATAGCATGAGAAAAACTGACAGGAGCTATTCAGTGGTTGAACTAGCTCACGTACGAGCACATTCAGAAGCACTTTTGTGCCGATTCTGCTGTGCCACTCCCTCCAGTAAGCAAATGCAACAGCTCCCCCCTTCACGCATGGATGAGACTGATAGGAGCAAAGAATTTCTCAGAATGACAAACAGATCATCCCCCAACCACCCTTCTACTCATTTATGGATATACCCATGCAGTGCACAGTTTACACACATGACAAAACAGGTTGCAACTGTTAAGACCTTAAGCATAGAGGTAAACACCCATTTCATAATGTTTATCTGTATGGATTGGCTTAAAATTAAAGACAGTTTCTTAATAAGGGTCGAGGTTTTTTTTCTTAATTCATCTAGGAACACTTCCTGTTTTGGACATCCTTTAACTATCTCAGCCTCCCACTGTCAGATTAAAGCAAGCAAGCAAACTAAAAATGCTGTTATTTGAACAAGAGCGCCACATGGTGTTACAAGCTGTGATGGAGAACAAACGGCAGGGGAGCTCTCTCCAGCCTCCCCAAACCAGGGTCAGGGAAATACACAGGCATTATTACACTGACTACGAAGTCTCCCTGTCTTCTGAGTTTTGACAAACTAGAAAACCCTATAGTGTTCTGTGTGAGGAACGGAAACAAAGCACACCTTTTCCTAGTTCATTCCACAGCCTGCATGTCAGCTAGCAAAAAAAAAAAAAAGCAGTGAATTCCACTGCATTTGAGCTATTTGCATCAGTTTTCATTCAAAACGTATCCAGGAAACATGATTTATAGTAAAGGCAAGAGCAGATGACCAGTATTTGGAGGCTGCACCTAACACCTCAATCAGTATACTATTTGTTGTGAGATTGATCACAATTTTCTGCTTGACTGAGAGTGTTTGCCTACCTAGAAGAACCCACAAGGAAGTATGCTAATGTTGATTTGTCATCACACGTTTAATCTGAGAGGAAAAGGGAACACTGAAACCTTCTTGATCTCTTCTTGTGAAGATTTCTTGACTTCAGTTATGGATTCTGTTATGAAGCAAAGCATTCTATCATTTAAAAAAGAAAAAAATACAGAAGCCACCAGCATCTCTAAAACCAGGCTGCCTGTCACCCATTTTCCTGATGATACCAAACACTTCTATTGACTTTTTTTGTCCCCAAAGGAGTAGACCAGCAATTTTGGAAGTCACTACAATACGACCCAGTGCATCCTCTTACCAGCCATGCAGGAAGGGGGCAGCAGGGGTGATGATGTGAGCAAACATTACACAGAATTAACAAGTCTTTCAACCAAGTAAGTCACAATACTGCATATAAGGCCTCACATAAGAAACCACACAGTATTGCTATCTCTGCGAAGGAACAAGTTATGCCAAGAACAACTGACAATATTGTCAGCTTTAAAGCTGTATGAGATGTGGAACAGGTTGGTTGTTTTTTTCTTGAGGAAAAGAAACTGCATTACAGAGTGAAACTATTTTAATATTCAATTTCATTAAGTTTCTTCAATAAGTATTTAAATAGCTTTAATTTATGAAACAACATCTACAAAGAAACCAGACAATTCATTTTGCTGTTAGGCAAGACTACTCTTTTCTAGTCTCAATGTTTTCACATTACTAAAATGGACCAAAACCTAAGATACTTACATTCATGTTTTAAAAAAAACTGTGTTTATCGTCACATGGAAATGAAACAAGACACAGTACAGCTATTGTAGATAGGCCTGTGATTCCCAGGCCTTTGAGATCAGAGTTCTGTAAAAATCCCTACAAACCCAAACAATTAGCAATATGCTTCTTACCCTTCAGCCTTGGTTTTGCTGTAGTTCTTCCTAGTCCCCTTTCCCAACCAGCACATGACCTTCACAGCTTCCAGAAGGAAGGGGAATGATTCAACTTACACTTGCATTCTGCTGCTGCTGACAAAGGGATAAATCCCAGCTCTGTAAATGCTCTTATGGCTAAAATAGTTACTCGAGCATCCAAAATGAAGATCACAGACTACAAACTTGTAGCTTTCTGAATATGACTTGTCCCTGCAATAGGATGCATTGTGGATTTGGGGAGCTGAAGGAAAAAACAGAAACAGACAACTTTAATAGATGAAGGGAACCACTACCTGACCCACAACTAGGAAATACTTAGAGCTGGATGTGAGACAGGAGAAATATGTTGCTGTAATGGTTGCTACCAGGCCAGGCCTTGCTACTTACTGTTCTATCCAATGCTTCCAACAACTTTATTCCCAGCTAGCTTAGTAGACCTAGGCTGAAGATGTATTTTGAAGCATTACAACTTAAAATGGATACTTTCCAGCCTCAAAAATGAAGAAAAATGGTTCAGAGCTGCAGAAAACAAGTGCAAAGCACTGTACTGCATGGCATATTAAGGGGTTATTTCTGAGATGCCGTTTCAAGAGCGCCCTTCCATACTTAGGCAAACCATGAACCAGTAAGTTGAACAATATAGTCTCTTCCCATTCCCTGTGCCTAGTTCACGTATTTAGGTAAGGGGTATTTTTTGTTGACTAAAAAACTGCCCTCCCATATTCTTGTAAAGACAGTTAGCTCCTAGATATGGGAACTCAAAGGACTCAACATTAACAGAAGCTGCTTTTCCTGAAGTCAAACCAGCTCCTAATCTATTTTCAACTCTATAGTGCAAATACAACTTCAACACCCTGAGCAAGTATTTTCACTTTCCTTGAAGCATCAAGTGGCATGAATTCATCTTATTCACACAGAATAACTCAGAAGCCGCAAGCCACCAGAGACAAACACAGAAATCCATACACACAGATAGGTTCTTCCTGTTTCACTTTTGGATAAGTACAACTAGTTTTAATGCACTTATATTGTAAACACATTTTCTCTTTATGGTTTAGAAGCACTGAGGAGAATGGGACAGAACGGTGTTTTGAGTGAGATAAATGGTGGTTTTACTAAGGCACTGCAGTTGCCGAACTCAAATACTTGTCCAAGTGTACTGCTCTTAGAGCAGAGAGAATATTTTTGCATTTAACTGCAAAGATAAAACAGCGTTTAGCTCATACATCAACCTGCATTTGTGACAGTTTTTCACTAAGTTATAGTTGCCTTTTATGTACAAAACTGTCTTGAGCGTCATGTGAGGTTGTCACATCACATGCCATTAGAACACAGTAACGTGAAGAGAGATGATAGATTCCGGTTCATTTTTAACCCGTTTTCCCAATAACATTCACAAAAGGTTTAGGGAACTGACTATCCAAACAGCATTTCCAGCACATCACCTCAGTTTTCCTAACCTGTAAGTTTCAGTCAAGTTAATTACTACACTTAGAAACTTCAACCCTTACTCTGGCAAAGAATCCCATTAAAAGTCCCATCAGCAGACAGCTTTTGCAGGACTGCAGCCTCCTTCTAGGGATCTGAATTCAAGTTCTCCCTAACCCTCAGCACGATGCATGTGCCCCATTGCTCTTCAGTTACATCTTCAGTGAGACGTTGATGGAAAAGTTTAATAGAAAGCATTCCTTGCAGGCTTTTCAACCTCATGTTTCGTCACAAAATTTGCAATGACTTATTTCATATTTGGTTGATGGCTGCCAGGAAGGCAATGAGGAAGACTGTATTTCCGCAGACATAGATAGATAACACTATCTGTTTAAACAGACGACCCTGCAAGAGAAGGGAAAGAAAAGGCATAGAAATGTCAGCCTCTTTATTTGCTTAAACAAAGAATCATCACATCTCATAGTAGTTATTTACAAAGTTGTTACCTCTGCTTCTGCAGATGTGAGTGATTGCAGTATCTGTACTCTGTCATCCTCTATCACTTCAACTGTGAGTTGGAAGGAAAAAAAAAAAAAAATGTAAGTCTGCTTTTAAGAGAAAGGGTTTGTTTTTCCTTCACTTTTTACGAGGCAGAGGTCTTGATCCAGTGCTTTAGTAGCAAAGCTTTATACAGCATCAGACTTGAGAATCGCTTGCAAGTCTCCTTTGACTCTCCATGACCTGTGCTATCATGCTCCCTGCACAAGTTAGAAACCATTCCAGAGCTGACTGACAAAGTAACTTCTGGACATTGAAGTGGCAAAACATTCTGTCTCTTTTGCTAGAGTGAATCATCAAAACACTGAGTTCTGAGCTGAACATAACATTCACTTTATCCAAAACCTTTTCATTTTAAGATAACAAGATTAACAAGTACTTTCCATTAGCCAACATTCATTGTTCAAACACTGAATGTTCACTTCTCTATTGCTAGGAAGGGATTAGTGCAGTTAAATTTAAATTCATGTCTTCTATAATTGCCACTTTACACAGCCTCTTAACTAATCATGCTTCTTCAATTCTGCAGAGGCCTCATCTCTGCCTTAGATACAGATTGTTTACATGAGCACAGTCATCTCCACTCAGTGACACCAAAGAGTGAAGGAATTGCTAATAAAGTTACTACCAGTCTCTTCACTAGACATATTGGTGCCAGGATTTCACCTTCACTGCTGTGTTCACTCAAAATTTTTGTGCTCAAATTTCTGCTCATTTTGCTCATGCAATAACAGCCATTCATACCAGCTCTTTGTCACAATAAAATGCCAACTAAATCTGCATGAATAAACCTGTATTTTACCCTACCCACCTGGGATCAAAAACATGGCAAACAGTGACAGATTCTTGGAAAATACTTATACATTTCAGCATGCCCCTATGAACTTGGGTTTGAGAAATGAGAGGTTACTATTTAGAATGGTACAAAAATAATTTTTCTAGAATACTTTGGTCTTGAAAGCTGTTTTACTCCCATACTACTTTGTGCAGAACACATGGTACTATTACTCAAGAGTAATTTCTTTTCAGTTTCCAAGTTAGGGGCCAAAGAACACCTCCTGAAATTCAATCCACTCTGCCACATTTTTTGCACGATCCTCAGGAAGCAAGGTAACAAGAGGATTTTGGTTGGGTTCGTACCTTTACGTATGAGACGGTAGCTGTGTATTTCCAGAAGAACATCAATACTGACATGCCAAGCCACAAAACCAATCATTGTGTAGGTGTCCCAAGGGTTTGGTAGGTCAAGTGCTGGTAGATCCATTCCCAAGAACATAGTTACCACTAGTCAGTAAAAACAAGATAAAAGAGACACTAAGAGTGCAGTACCAGGGTAATTTTTAAAGTGTTCTCGATACCTCGGGCAATAGATTTCCCATGAACTGCCTATAACTGCTTGAGGAATGAGGTTAAAGAGGCCAATTCCACTAAAAGGTTGGCTTTTTGGGGGGGGGCAGTGTGAGGAGGAAGGCAGAAAGAAAAGGAGAAGACCAAGGTAGTTTTCATCCTGCTCAATGCCCTATCGTACCACAGCCACACAAACACCAGCAGTTGTGACTCTACCAACATGACCACAGTCACCACAACACTTGTGCTTAAGCTGCCTGTGGAAACTTGTCACTATTAACAGAATTAAGCCCAGCTTCCAGTTATGCGAGTTCCCCCTCTCCCATTAAATAACATTGAACTATATTACTGTAAGAACACTATACTCAAATCTTGCAGGACAAAAAGAAATTACCCAATATAAGAACAAGTCCTCATTACAGAGATCTTTCAGATTTGCCTGCAATCTCTTTGGTTTTACACAGTTATTTCTCCTTAAAGCAGTACCTGGTAGTGTCTTAAAACTCACACAGACGATTGCCAGCACGAAAAAGAAACTTCAGAGATGCCTGGACTGGACATCCATAGATGTTTTGGATGAGCAATAGCCCAGACAATGAACAAAGTTCATTCAAAGAAAAATCACTTAAGAGAGTTACAACTATAGTCCTACTCACCAGCTAGTATTCTAGCTGTTGTACCAGCAGTCCAGTGAAACCAGTTAAATAACTGCCTCCTACAAAACAAGGAAAGCATTTTATTGATTATGTAGTTTGGGAAGGAAGGGAAAAAAAAAAAAAAATAGAACATTGTTATTTACTTTAAAGGTATATTTTAAATGTAAAAAGTATTTTTAAAGAAATGACCAGAATTCCTGGGGCTGTAACTTAGTGAGGGAGTAGTGAGTACCTTGGTGCATGACGAGATGGTCTGAAACCTGCCATAAGTGGTTGAATGACTGTCAGAGCCATCACAATGCAGCCAAGATAGGGATGCAAACCTGCTTGCTAAACACAAGACATTTTTCTTTAATATCTTAGTCATATAAAGACACAGAAAAAAATACCAAAAACTTGACAATTTCATTTATGCCTGTATTAGTAAGTTACAACAGTGGAGCAGCACTGTATTTAGGGTGGCAGAGGCAACAGGACACAGTGAGCTCCCCTGCTGCTGGACGGAGATGGTTCTCCTCAACAGCGTAAGACCCTGGTAAGTTTGACCCAGGCTTGTCCCACCTTTTTGCTGTATTGAGAAACCCTACTAGCTTAAAAGCAGAAAGCAATATGAGTGTAGAAGCTATGCTCCAAGCTCTCCACCCTCAATCCTGTGTCTTCAGGAGCGGCAAATTTTGTAATTTCTCCCAGCGCTGGTCTCCCCTCTCACTCCCAACTGTTCTAATCTTAACCCTGAAGCATTTTATATTCAATTCCCCTAGCTCATACCTGTGATCATACTCTCCCACCTTTAATTCAGATACTTGAGATTTTGCAGTTTCTGATACCACCTAGCACAAAATATTATACAGGTAACAGCAACAGGTATACAATTTCTATCCTACTACTGTTCCAGAAAAAAACTTAATCACTGGATACAGTTAAAATCCAAGTTCATAACAACACTTATTCCCAGCAGGTTTACCATATGTTAGTAAGTCAGCTGTCCCATCCTTACTTCCCTCCAAATTCAAATTCTCTGAGGAAATGGGAAGAAGGCTGATTTAGCACATAAAGAAACTGTGAGCAAGGATTTTATTTGGGATAAAGAGGAAGAGAGAAAGTCCTGAAGATTTTCAGCTGCAGTTACAGGAGGCAACATGCCTCTTCTGTGTTGACAGGATTTGAAATTAGCCTACTTAAGGACAGCTTTCACAGCAATTTCCTCAGCAATAATTCTAACATGTTAGTCACCAATGGACCTCCTCATTCATCTGGTCCAACCTTCACATTTGAGTTCACAAAATAAAAGCACACACTTACGTGGCTCCAGCCTCCTCGGTATATAAAAGGCAACACAAAAGAAATGCTTGTAAGCATGACTGTGCTCAACATAAGCATACGATGCACCTAGAAAAGTTAAGTTTGCTTTTAGATACTCAACAGCTTCCTTAGTACACCATTAAAATACATTAACAGATCTACAGTTAAAGATCTATAACAAATTGATCTACAGTTAAAGATGTGCTTAGTGTCCTCTTTAGACTTTGCTTTACTAGTAATGCAGGTGAACTTCTGATATGCAATTATTTCATAAGATTAAAGAAAGATAAAAATCAAAGTTTGATTGCCTATTTCTTGTATCTAGCAGGTTTATAATTCTGCTTACAATAAAGCTAGAAAATACAGCTGGAGATACAGGAAGATTTTGCCCACCTGGAACCACAACTCCTTTCCAAAGAGGAAGGAGTGAGACCAGACAGGTTTGAAGAACCGCGCGACAATGACACCGATGCTCACTGTGGTAACCCAAGCAACACACATCAGCGCTCCTGAAAAGTGAGAAAAAAAGACACAGTAAACGTGAGTGACTCAGCCGCATACGAACACAGCTCCAAAGACTGTGTAATAGCTTACCCCGTACACTTATACTCAGAACTTACCAGTGATAAGTTTTTAATCACTTGGTTCTGACTACAACTTGACAGCATTTACCTGCTAGAGGGCAGAAACACCCATACAAAATACCACCATACTGTGTCCACACAGCACAACAGACCCACTCTGACTACTGCACGTTTCACATGTGCCAGTACAGTCAGTACATACTGGTGAGAGATGCTGTTCTGCCACCAGCTCAGACATCAGAGGACGAAAGGTGACATTTTGTACAATTTGTTTAACACAATGAGTGATAGTTCTCTCACAGGCCTGCTTCAAAGTCCAGTATTGAAAGAGGAAAAATTCCTGTTAACTTCAATGGCTCTGGACTGCCAGTTGAAGGGTTTCTCATTTCAAGTAGAATTAAACCAATAACACAACAAGGACAAATTAAACCAGAAAGAAAGAGGTAAACAGAAATAGGTGCTAATTATAAATTTTGGAGAAAATGTAACCACAGGTTCACTTTCCTGGGCAAAAGAACCTTATAATACTGTTCATGAAATAAGAAATTATCAATGACTTCACTCCAACTGCACAGTCTCAGATCTTGCTGGTCAACAATATATATAGATAACTTGAGTGCCAGAAATACAGGAGGAAATAGCTACTCTGCAATAAAGAGGAAGACTTCACTCTCTAGTCTCAGCAAGTGTAGAACTGGAAGGCAGAACTATAAGTTGCAGCTTACCATGAACCTTGATGAGCTGTGGGGAGTGAGAACCTCCAATATCCCGAGGAAGGCCTGTGACATCGTACATTCCATTGGTGACCAGAGGCTGACGACTGTGTTTATGTATTAGTCCACCTAAGCAGTGACATGAGGTGATTTACATATGACTGGTGAAAGCCACTGCACTTGTCAGTCTGCCCACTCCTCATTTATGAATGCAAGCCCTGCTGTGACCACCAAGAATTATCACGCAAACCAGATTTCTGACACACAATGCGGTAAGAACTTAAGATATCATTTAAGTTGTCTTGCACACTTCATCTGCAAGAACCCACTCACCCCACTACAGAAAACAGCTTTCTCCACTACATGCACAAAATGTGAAGACTAATTCCTTTTGATGCTGGTCTTTTTTTAAAAAGGATGTGGCCAGCTACCAGTTCCTAGTATCAAGTAGGCAATATAACACATGTGTAACTTTACTAAAATTTCCAAAAGCAAACTCATGATCCAGAAAGGCAGTAAAAATTACAGGATTAAGTGCCTCAAACTTGGAAACCTTAGTTCAGATACTAATTCTCAGCTAAGTCCTCTCTTACCTAAGGGTTACTAACTCATTTAGAACAGTTCAAAGAAAAGCAGCCATATGTTAGTCAAGTTTACCTTCACCAGCTTCCCCATCTGCCAGAAAGATGTAGTAACTGGCATTCAGGTCAAATCTCCCTGTGTAAGCAGGAAGATGAATACTCCTCCTGAAGGAACACTGAAGTACACCATCCACAAGCCTCCAGGACACATCTTCAAGGGCATTCTGTGAAACAGGAAACATGTAATACCCAGGCTTTTCAGACTGGCAGAGTAATAATACCTTTTGGCTTAAAAGTAATCCTGTGAAAGACAAGAGTGTCACTGGTGTACAAAGAAAGAATGGCAACAAAAAAATGGCAATGATCAGGGTGGTGATAAGAATCTCTTGCATACCAACTAGGGAGGCATGTCAGTAAGTCAACAGAGCAACATAAGGGTGTCTGTCTTACAACTCTTGACTCAAGATATATTGATTGCAACTTCAGCCTTAGCAAAGGGACAGAGTAACAAAGGGCACAAAATTCCTCAATAGAGTAAGATCCCAGCACACAACTTCAATTTTTAAAAATTAGACTTCCAAAGGTAGCATCTACTAGGAAGTAAGAGACCAACAAATCTTACCTTGAAGAATTATGGACCCACCTTACTATTTACCTCCACTGTGCAAAATAAAAGCACAGAGTAGAAACATACCATTCATGACTTCAAACCCACATTTGTGGAAGTGTCTTAGTGGTTTTCAAATGTACCTCTGAATCCAGAGCAGGAGGACTTCGTCCCTTCAGGGAGGCAGAGCTTACGTGAACATGGTGGTCCTCATTAACACACAGATATGCATCATCACCACCCTGAAGAGTTTAAAAGAAAAAAGGTATTTATAGCCAAATAAAACCCACTACTGGCAGTCTCCAAAAGCTCTTTCATTTAATGTGTGCAGCAAGAGCTGAGACAGATTTCTCTAGCTGTCAAGCTATTATTTCCCAGCTTTCAAACACTTCACTATTCCTGAGGTACCACATTAAGTCAGACAGATGACACATAGTAAAGCATTATTACCATTTACACTTCTCCCTCCCCCAGGCAGCAACTGTATTATCAACGTTTAATTATTTCGAATTTACTAAATAAAGCACACAAGACAGATTGATATCAATGTCATGTAAAAAAAAAAAAAATTTAGTTAAAAGTTGGGTTTCCTCATAGCTGTAAAGACAAAGTACTGTTAAGAACCAAGTGTTCTTGCACTAGGGACATTAACAAACAGCATCTCATTTGTGCAGCAGTTAGATTATGGATTATGCATTTGTCAACAGCATCGTCCTTTCACTTTAACACCAGTTACAAAAAGAAAAATCTCTGAACGCTTCAAGATTGAATGGAGTCGTTCCTGTACAAAAAATGATGAAATGCAAACGGTTTCCAGAAAGCATAGTAACCCAGCTTCTGACAAGTGAGGGTTTTTGGTCTAGCCAGGAATTCCAGTCAGCTACTCTGCTATCAGACACGTTGGATTCATAGAATTATAGAATGGTTTGGGTTGGAAGGAACCTTAACGGTCATTTAGTTCAAACCCTCCTGCCATGAGCAGGGACACCTCCCACCATCAGGTTGGATCCAGATCAGGTTGCTCAAAGCCCCATCCAACCTGGCCATGAACACTTCCATGGGGTATCGTGGGGTATCCACAAATCCTCTGGACAGCTTGTTCCAGAGTCTTACCACCCTCATGGTACATTATTTCTTCCTAATACATAATCTAAATCTACCCTCTCTGTTTGAACCCATTACCTCTTCTATCCCTCCAAGCCCTGATAAACAGTCACTCCCCATCTTTCCTGTAGGCCTCCTGTAAGTACTAGAAGGCTGCTATAGGGTCTCCCCCGAGCCTTCTCTTCTCCAGGCTGAACAAACCCCAACGAGCATGTCCTCACAGGGGAGGTGGTCCAGCCCCTTGATCATCTCTGTGGCCCTCCTCTGGACCTGCTCGAGCAGGTCCATGTCTTTCTTATGCTGTGGTCCCTGGTGCTCAACACAGTACTCCAGGTGGACCCTCATGAGAATGGCATAGACAAGGATAATCACCTCACTCAACCTGCTAAGGTTCTGCTGAAACATATCTCCACAAGGAAATTCTACTGCAGAGTCCTGAGCTAAAACCGAGTATCACGTATAGAAGGCAACCTGTGCTTCAGCACGATGAGAGAAAAGTTACTTTGAGCAACATCTAGCAGCTTTTCGGTCATCCCTCTGCATATTTTGCTAGAGCACCATTCAAACTTTACTAATATTGCAAAAGCAACTAAAGAAGAACATGACACTCACCATCCACTGGTCATGTGACAATGCAAATGCTAAATAGCCTTCACTTGTACCACTCATTTCAATGAATACAGAACTCTTCTCTTGTTGGAAGGATAGAAAAAAACAGGAAGCACTTTCAGGATCACAGTTTGAGGGGCTCCTAATGCAGAACTTCGTACTTCCACAGCCTGATGCATTAAACTGGATAATTAAGCAAACAAGTCATAAGCAATGAGAGCTTCCCCTCTTCTTTCTCCCCTTCTACCCCAGTCTAGGAGAAAGCATACATGGAACAGCAAAGAAATGCCATCTGTGTCTACATACCAATCTCTTAATCCAATCCTACAATTACCCCAGGACTAGCAGGTAAAATGATGGTGAATTCCAAGCTGTACTTTTACTCAACCTGGATTTTCACCTTAAAATAAATAATGGAACAAATTTGAAAAGAAAGGGAAAACTTTAGAGACATTTCCTTTGGTTTAATTTTTAGAGAGGCAATATTAGCTATAGGATGAGAGAAAAGAAGGGAAGATCAGCGTTTAATTTCCTTTGTAAAGTAGGAATTTGAACGATACAAAATGAGAAAATACACATTTTAAAAGTTGTGCTTATTCTGGATCAAATACATGCTTGCTCATTCAAGAATGAGTAATGGAAGTCAGTAACACACATGAACTCATGGAATGAAGCTTGTGTGCAGTTACCAAATAGGAAGTTTTTAGTCAAGACCAGAGCAAAATTTTTCCTCTCTCTCTTCCCAGGTAGGTAGAATATTTTCTGATCATAAAGTTCTAAATGTTCTATCAACCTTCTGACCCACACGTGACATTTAACCCACAGAAGTTCAGGCAACTCAACTAACATGAGAGGGTAGCTGCCTATGTTCTGAGTTGCTGAAATCTAAGTTACCCAATCACCATCTCTCCTTTTCTGTCAACAGGCTCTATCAACACCATTCCACCAAATTCCATTATCACAAGCATTAAAGACACCATTACTTAGGTTTAGAATTACTTACTGGCTTTGATAAGTAGGAAACTGGGTGTGAAGTTGACATAGCCTCTGATGTTGTATGCAGGGGGGTTGTTGGGGACAGCGCACTAGGCTGAGAAACAACAGGACCAGGAATCTTCACCCAGAACGTCCTGTATTTCTTCACAACTGTGGCTCTTAAAAAACACAACACACAGAGCCATTACTGTATACATCAACAGCTGGTTGTTACTTAAAAGGAAAAGGGAAAAGCTTCTATAGTTTATACAACTCATTTGTAAAACCCTCATCTTTATGCAGGCCTCTATGACTTTAGGGATTAAAGTAGGAAAATATCTGGATTCGCATTAGAAAAATAATTTTAAAACATAATACTTCATAATGTATTAGATATAAGAACCATTCATGCAGAGATTATGCCCTCAGAGAAGAGTTGCATAGTTTTATCCATTAGTTCCCCAAAAGCTAGTAGTACAACAGTAAGGCATACATACTGTTTTATCAAGCATCTAGCACAGAAAAAGATGCTTAACGCTGTTTATTACAGGCATGAGAAGTGATCAGTTAACTAGAAATACTAAATAAACTGGACTCCAAATCCCCTTCTCATCTCCCTATAAAAATCCAAATAATCATCTCCAAACTTTCCCTAAAGGACAATCATCTGCATTAATGTAGACTACTCTCCACAGCAAGCAAGAGGTGTCAACCTTTCAGGCCATTAGTCCAAGGACACTTTTCAGTCGCTGGCCAATATTTGACACAGACAATAGGACAAGTTTACCTTATTTGCATTTTAGTGAACCAGAACAGATTTACTTACAGAAACTGTACATGTTTTGGTGCATCTCTAGGAGCAATCCAGTAAACTTTTAGGTGTTTCTTTTTTGCTTTATTTGTGTGACTGACAGCTGAATTCTGAAAACAAACACATATCAGGAGTTACACAGTGGATATGCAGCAAGATTTCCGTGAAGCCATCGCAGGCTGCAGCTGAACCCTGAACAGACACCACGCTTACACTCCACAGGCCCAGTGCAACTGGCTTTTCCCCAGTCAGTCACCATCAGCCTGGATGAAGCATACCACTGATATTCATACATACTAGCAAGCTGAAGGCTGTAAGGAACAACTAGAGATCCTCCAACCCAGAAGACTCCAGTGAAGAGACAGACATTCTCGCAGTGTTTATGTACAAATGGTGTGATGACACTTTTTCTTTCTGATAGTAAGATAATGCTCCCTGTTTGGCTAGTCAGAGCATGAAGGGGTAGTGCAACAACCGTACAGAGAGTTGCACAGAACTAGTATTCCAGAGGACAAAACCCAAAAGTAGTGCTGTGGGCAGACAGTTATTTTCACAAGATAAACAGACCAGTAACATCCCTGAACTAAGTCCTCTGAGCACAGAAGGCACAACTCAGACATCCCCATGGCTTCACAGCACTGATGAATGCAGTAACTGGATGTCACTGGGAACAGAAATGGAGAAGAAAAAGACATCTAGAGAGATTGAGAACTTTGCCCACACCAGATCAGATCACACTGCACATGTTCATAGAGTTCAAGTTGGTTGTTGAGTCAGAGTTCACACCTCTTGCAAATGGGGCAGAATCTATTTACTGAAGTGGATATTGAAGATTGATCTAACCCATTACTTATAAGGCTCCATTAACAGTAACTGACAGAGCAAAACTAAAGATAACAGCCTATCTAGTGCCCTGAACTTGGGCAATACCTGTCCTAAATTTTCTTTGCTGTAAGACACTTTTTTTTTCCTGTCCTAAACAAGCATGCAAAATGACTGATAACTCTCCTCTCCAAAGCAAACAGAGCATTCCCTCCTTTTTTAATCTTAATTGCAACAACCAGAAACACACTACATTTGTTGTGCACAAGTAAATATTATGATAGGGATGCTGCAGCTTGCTGCAGCAGTCAACAGCCTTTTATCACCAGGATAGTTTAAATGGCTGATGAGAACAGTCTGAGAGAGTTGCAGTGAGCCATGCCTCTATAATGCAAGTTGGACCAATTTCCCAGAGACTTACTGAGCTCAAAGATGACTACCTAGCTTAGCTTTGTCCTATTACAGACCTGGTGCAGTACAAACACCTCTATACCTGATGTTAAGACACTAGACTATACCTTGGTACGGCCACACGTCAGAAGCTGAGAAACTCTGCGGTCAGCTAAGATGAAAGAACCAACTGCAGGGCTATCCAGCTGTTCTGCATCCCGGGCCTGCATGAAAAACCCTTCAAAATCTGGTCCAGACAGATGAACTGAAACAAGAAGAAAAATAAAAGGAGGTTGAAATATTCTCCAGAAGAAGAATGAAGTCTTTCCAATAACATCAACCAGAAGCTCATTTTACAAGTACTGAACGACTGCCAAATGGATCACCTGAACAAGATGCAACTACTTAGACACATTTAGCTTAGCTGAGTAAAGACATGCTACAAGGAAACAGTAAATAAAACTCCACCTACAATGGACACAATACCTTCTATGCTGTCCCCTGGTTTAAATTCAGTCCCATTCACTGTAATGGTGTGCTCAGGTGTCAGTTGTGGAGAGCCACCATGACAGGGTATCATGCTAGTGCAGGCTTCTCTTACTTTTCCACTTGGATAGCCATCCACATATGCACAGAGGCAAGTAAACATCCAAACAGCAAAAGCAAGGCCAGGCAGCTCCATCTACATAACGTAAAAGTTACAGGCAATTAAATACAATAAACATTCACAGTACAGGTCACCATTCATCTTCAGAGGAGTCAGCTGAATACTAAAGTTTAAAAATGTTTAAAACAGAAGCATGCACGAGAAGACACCATTCCCAGCTGCAGAAGCTAAAAGTAATGTGTGCTTCTCATAACTGACAGACTTTGCAAGAACATTCACAGGTACCATGTTTCACGCCATCAAGAGTACAGGGATTAGTCGGATGCCTCCATCCACTTGGTGGATTACTTGTCTCAATCTCAGCGCATTTTGACGTCACTTGAGGGTTTTTTTTTTTCTTAGACCTTTCCCATTCTCTCTCAAAAAAAAATATCCAAGACCCTTAAACACCTGCACAGGACAGACAGATCTTAAAACATGTGTCATTGATGTATACAGGTCCACAGTACTGAGGAACTACACAGCTAGTATGAAGCCCACTCTTTTATTAGTCATAACTCCAAGCTGTGCATCATTACAGACTGCCTCTTGTTTCCACCACTCGTGTCTATTCCTTCACATATGAGAAAAAGTTCCCAGGCAACAAGTTCTTCTTTTTACAGGGAAATTGAAATTGCCAAATGTCAGAAATAGATTTTATACGTGTAAAGGAGTGGGAATTTGGTGTAAAGATTTAGACAAAAAAAAAAAAAAAAAAAAAAGGAATACGTATGTTAGTTCCAGAGAAGCACAAAATATTTCCTTTGAACTCTTCCTTTTGGATACTGGACCTTGAGACAACTAGTCAAATGATATAATTGTTTGTCACTCTCTTGTTAAGGGAACAGCTTTCATGAAAAACATGTAGGGTAATAGGACCAAAGAGCTTGAAACAGTTACATGAACCCCTAATCCCAGCATTCATCATATAGTGTTTTGCTCTGCCACAATCTTCTTTTCAAAGAACACTGTGGTAATTGTTTTGTTACTCAACAGCATGCAGGGTTTACAGTTGTATCATTGTCTCCAGAACACCTCAGGCAACAAGAAAAGAAGTTGGGAGAACAGAGATAAACTTCCTTTCCATCTTGAGGCACAAGAAGTGGGTTATCACCTCTGGCAGAACATGTACCAGGCTATACTAGGCAAGCAGGTCTGTCTTCTGGAAAAGCCATGCCCATTTTGCCCCAGCTGATAAGAGGTATCAGGTTATCAAGTTCCCTGACAGTATGCATGGATGTGAAGATAAGAAAGGCTCAGAGCTGTTCACACTGAACTCTGATACCTAAAAAGCAGAGAAATGAAGACAAGGCATGCCATCAGTCTAACGTGCTCTCTAAGAGTCATCAGTATGAACTTGTCCAAAGTTCTCATACATTCAGTGCACATTATCCAGGGCAATACTATGTTCTTATTTCAACCTAAGAGCTCCTCAGCAACTTTACACCAGTAAATAGAAGAAAATTGGAAAGGAGAGGAGGTTGAACAGTTACGTTTCAGGAACTAGGAAAAAAAAAAAAAAATAGGAAAAACCCCACCAAACACAACACTCAACTCTTCCTCCCAAATACTCAAGATAACTTTATGACAGTAACTTTAACTTCTAGTTAAAGTAAGCCTTTCCTTCTAGTTCCAATACTTCTCCAAACTCTCACAAATCTACATCAACATGATTTTATTCATTAGTTAAGGAAGTCTACAGGAAGCCGAAAACTAAGGTTCAGTAAAATGGTGGCACATTAAAGCAGCTTTTATATATACCAGTGAAAACTTCTAAACAAGTTGCTGCCAGAAGACATAAGGCCATATACTGCAGAGGGGAGAAAAAAAAAAAAAAAGTAGGATACTACTATAGTTTAAGTAGCAGAGGATGCAGCAGGGATTTAAAACGAAACAAGAAATATTGTTTGGCAGACTTAACTGACTCCAAAGCTGGCAGAAGAGAAAGAGGAAGAAGCAGAGGTGAAAAAAAAATTTAAAAGTTCCAAATCTGACTAAAGAACTGTACTGGAAACCAATTTTTAAAAAAAAAATATTTTTTAAACAGGGTTAACTGTGGAAGAGCACTCTTCTCTGTGTGTGTTCAATGCTGAGGGCTAGATCCTATAAGAAACAGTCATTTCCAAACTAAAATCTAGCCTGCCTCAAACAACCCTTCCATTGCCTTGAAAAGTCCCTTTGCTACTTTTATCTGGAAATACGTTGTGGCACTCTACATTCTCTGCTTACACAGCGGAAGAGGCAAAGGGGAGACAGGAAGTACTCACAACACAAATCATTCTGTGGTGAGATTCATTTTGTACTTTTAGGAAAAACATCTCCTGAGGTGTTAATGTAGACAAAACAGTACAGTAGGTCAACATTCTAAAGAAGTCAAGCTGTAAGAAACCATTAATTTCAAATTAGTCTGGACTGTAACTCAAATACTGTAATAAAACCCCTTCTATAACACAGTGGAACTTCATATTTAAAACTGTAGTCTGGAATCGCCAAAAATAGAAGTTTACAAACAGTCATTTGCTGCCCCTTACTCAGCTAGGATCACACTGTGCCTCTCCACCCCCTTTCTGCAATGTGCACACACACCCTCAGCCTTCAGCCAAGACCTGTTCAAAAGAAGCCAAATACTAATCATAATGAGCAAGAAAGACAAGGACACAAGAACTGAATATATATCACTTGTAGCTCAAAAGCAAAGATAAAAAGCCCACCACCTAAAGAAGATGGCTAGTTAAACTAATGAACCAGCAATAAGCAAATCTGAGAAAGGACAATAAAAAGTATCTTTATACTCTGGCTGGAGATTGACAAGCAATTATATCTATCCTCACCTAAGTATTTGAACAATAAATCTACTTTGCTAAACAAAAAAAACCCACACCAAACAAAAAAAAGTCAGCCACTGCCAATCAACAAGTCACTCCCATATAAAAGTCACCTCTTCTTCTGTAAGATGACATGATTTCCTCTTTTCTCTGATTAGAGTTCAACAGTCACCATAGTGTTAGTCCCTCCAAAGTGATGGTGTCAGGAATGGCATTTTTAGACATTTAGCATGTCATATAAACCACAATGCAGAAAAGCGATTTAGAATTAAAGGAGTAACTAGCTTTAAAACTTCAAGCAATCACACACAGAGGTAAAAGAGCCAAGGTTTGTAATAAGCAAACATAAGATAAACTGTGGAACATGCAACTTTTTTCTGGTATTCCCCTTTTCAGGAAAAGCAGAGGAAGACAACTAAATCACCCAACCACAGACATTAAGTACAACCCCAAACATAGAAGTGTTAGGATTAACAGCACGGAAAGGATTTGTTACAGAGAGGTTAGGCTCAGGAAAGTTGGAGAGTGCTGGGTGAACTATGCTTAACCTCACAAAAGAATAAATGCCATTCAAAGAATAAAGTAAAAATAAAAACAGTTCTCCACCTGTATCATGAAGGACCTGAGAGTCTGATCAAAGCTATTATGCCTCATGGAACTGTTACTCACTCTGCTACTGTACTCCTCCCAGAAACACGACTGAGTTAAAAAAGCACCAGCTGACCTGCACTCTGATCAGCAGCAGATATCTGCAAGATCCTCTTTTGTAGATAAGAACAACATAAATTGCATCAAAGCCATACATCACCAAGTACTGCCACTAAAGCTAGACTCAAAATGAGAATCTGTTAACTCAAGTTTTGAGGCATGTAAGCTGTGGAGCAGCCTGGTACTACCTACAGCATTTGAGAACACTCTCAGTTTCCACAGTAACTTACTATGAATTGTAGGTTTGTCCTCCTTGACCGATTTTGCTTGCAAGTTGCATTGAGAAGCTTTGGCCACAGGACTTTATTTATAACCCTTTGAAACGCAACTCACCGGTGACAGTGTATGAATTAGCAGAGAGTAAAGGAATAATTGACTTCAGGACTGAAGCATAACAACATCAACAAACATAAAAGCTAATTCCTGTACTATTTTTCAATAAGCAATCCTCAAGGGCTTTCATTAAATTACTGTCATTTGAACAGCCTGGAAGAACAACAAAGAGTTTTAAGATTTCTCTGTTATTCAGTGACTTGATTTCCAAGTTAAATGCATTACAGTGAAAGTCTTGTGTTAACCAAAGGCCCAAGAGTACAGGTAACCTCCTCCTACCCTGCCAGCATGCCAGCTGCACACCCTGGGGTGGCATGCATTAGTAAAAGCCCTGCTGATGGTTACAAGGATGTGCTTAAGAGCATACTAGCTCCACAGTCAGAACACAATCACACAGCATCAGCTGTTGATTTTATTTACTTCTTGTACTGTACACAGACTTTTCAACATGTAACATGGGACCAAAGACAGTGCAAGATCCAGGAGTCCTTTCCCCACACGTCGATACTAGCACACACCACACCATTACCGTATAACGTAGTTATTCAAACCACTGTTTCACGTCTTCATTTAGAAAGGAAAAATATACTTCAAAGCTCATTAGTTTGAAGCATGACTGCAAATTTGTTTGTCTCCCTCTCACCCTACTTTAAATCTTCAGTATAAAATATAACTCAACCCCCCCCGGAGGAAAGAAATCTTCAAAACACGTTTGTTCAAAAAAACTCCAGATCATTACCTGTAATCTGGTTCAATTATCATGTCACTTTTGTGGTGGAAGCAGGGAGGAAAAAAAATGTGTACTTGAAGCCACCTATAATACAGCCCTCCAGTTAATAGAAAGCTAAATAAGACAGAGTGACAGTCATCTTCTCATCACCCTTGCCTTAACTTTTTTCTAAAGTTGGAAAAAGCCACGCATGGCTAGTTATTCCAATGGTAGTGGGACGCAGAATATTTTAAATAAGAGGCAGTCAAAAAAAGCCTACAACAGATATTCCAAAAAAAGTGACCTAGCAACAATCATTCCAGTTAGTATGAATGGTGATGAAGAAACTAGCATTCTCCATGCTTACAACGGACCATGGCAAAACAAGAACCTCTCTGTGATAATTCAAACATTAACCAAAGTAATTACCTGTGCCCTAACCTCAAGGGATTCTGCCTGGCAAGGTAGACTGCAGAGAGAAATATAGATTTGCTCAAAGTAGCTATCAGCTTCTGTAGAGTTTCAATACAACTACACTTGTCTCAACATTCAGAATTTATCATCCCATTTTTTCAGAAGTCATCTCTTCCTCCTCTTAAGGAGAGAGGAGGAAAGAATGAGAAATGGTTGGAAAAATGACTGCTATAATTCCAGAAATAGCATTTTTAAAAGTCTGAACCAACCACACCAAGATTCAGTGAGAATCTTTTCATTATATTTAGTATACATGCAAATTTATTCTCCTGATGACATCTCACAGTAACTGGATTTAGATAAATGCAGAACAGTAAATTACTTCCTCCTGTGTTAAAAAAAACCTCTTACAGTCCCTGCAGGTATCAACAGCTAAGAAAGCCCTGGCACCCTAATTCCTCAAGAGTACAACGTTCACACAAAAACTCAGTGTCTCTTCACAGATGCTATCTTTTTTCAGCTATGTAACAGAACTTCATTAGGTGCAGAGTACTAAATCTAAAATTAATTCCAGAGAGGAAGAGGAGATGAGAAAAAGGGCAAGGCAAACATATTGCCAATTCAAAAGTACAGCAACTATTGTAGCCAGAACCTTTCTTCTGAGCACCCTCAGAAAAAAGGGCAAGCAAAAGAAGATAAAAAAAAAAATCTAAAGGAGAATAAGCCGTATTAACAGGCGTTTGTATCACGTTTCTGTAGAAGTACTCTTACAAAGCAAAATCAGACAGCTTTGCTGTCCAAGAGTCACCTTCCCTCTGAGTCCAGAAAAAGAGCTTGGATTAACTTCTCCTCATTGTTCCTATCACACTAGTTGTACTGAGCAAAGGCAGAAAATAAGTAGTGTTCACCTTCACAATAACTCATTGAAGTACAAACACACACCCCCTCATGCCCACAAAATGACAAAACATACACACTTCAACCTCTTATTTTTTCTCCTCAGTAACTATTCAAAGAGAACTTCAAAGCTTGTCTGTTTCAAAAAGAATTTTTATAACAGTTTCAGTTTAGGTACCTACCTTATAGCCAGTTCTGCTACAGTGACCAAGTCTGAGTAAAATTGCCATTTGCTTTCTACTTATATTAAGAGAACATATCGTATCTTCTATACGACTTGCATCTAACAGTATTAACATTTATCATACCTTAGCTCAGAGGAAGTTTGTCTGAAAGAAGAAACAGCACACACACAAAAAGGAAATATTTATAAGCATCCTTTACACCAGGCACACATTTTTATAATGCTTGCCAAGCTAAGACCCACACACTTCAGCCAAAATGTGTGACATTGTAATGAAGCACTGACTGTAGCTTCCCAGGCTGTGTCAGACGTGTACTTCCACAGACCTCAGAAAGTTTGATATTAATAATTAATTGTTAATATTCATATAGTTACTATAATAGTTATTATAGTTACTAATATAGTTATTAATAGTTAACATTCTTAACTATTTCTGGTGCAGTTAAGGGAAAAAAACAAAAGAAAACACACAAAAAAACCCCACAATTTGTGATACCATCCTCAAAGCATGAGTTGGTACAAATTTGCAGCATGATTTTAAAACCTATTATACATTTACTCCCTAGCAAAGAGACGCTTTGTTTTAGAGGAGGGCTAAGAAATCTTAAAAAGGAATACAGTAAGTTTGTCTTCCCCCCCTCCCCATATATCCCACCAAGAATGAAGCAGCAGCAAGGATTTCGCCTTGTTCAGTACTTTTTATTTAACTTTCTGTTGGGCAGCTGCTCTGTATATAATCTTTAGTACTCCAACCCTGCGAGCTTTTATCAATGTGAAGAATCCAAAGTTACAGGCTGACCTTAAAACAACGTAGTTCGTTACTCCAGCAAGCAAACCAAACTAGAGAGTCAGCACTTTTACTGTAAGTTACCACACAGCTGCCCATTATGCACATTAGCGAAGAAATAAATTAAGAAAGCAATAAGCACGCAACATTAAGAAGCAAACAAGATGCAAGAGGAACGTGGTTAGTGTGGCTTGCAGGCAAAACGCGCCATAGCTTACCTTCACTCGTTAAGGCAAGCGAGAGTTTTCTCTAAAATAATTTAAAAACGCTCGCGCGAAGAGCAACAGCTACAAGGTGCTTTAAAAGCTTCAGCAGATAGTAACTTGCTCCACAGTCTCTTCAGACGCACAGCCCTGTCAAGCGCAGAGGGCTTCCAAAGGCTCGCAGCGCCCGCGCCTGCGGCGCTGAGGACGCAGCG